GCAGGTGAACATATTGTGGCCTTTACATGTCCCTCTGGTCATCCTAGCCTGGTAGAAGACGCCCTCCTTCCCCGCTTTGATCAGCTGCAGCAGGTTCAGGTCTGACTTGGTGAAACGAGGATCCTTAAACAAATACCGTTAGAGGTGACTTGGCAGAGCCGAACAGCAGTGGGTTAGGGGTCAGGAGACTGAGAGGACATGCCACCATCTACTAGAGCAAACTTACAAACTCGTTCTCTGATTTTTAATCTGAATCTGATTTTGGTTCTGTCTTTGGATGCAGTGACAATTATTTGGCACAAAAGAGACATGATCGGCACTAACAGTTAAATCCACACTGGTGAGATGACACAGATAGAGCACATGTCACACGTACAGTTAATGTTTAGTTTGGCCTATCTTGCATGTTTGATTTCCTCTGCTGCTTCAAATGACTGCGGACGGAAATCAAACATCCCTAATATGGGTCAAATATCTGACAGCAGGAAGTATTTCTCTCTGTATCACGTGACGGCAGTGTGTCAGTGGTACCTGCTGCAGGCTTTTCCACAACCTCCTGGAGGGGGACCTGATTGTGCTGCTCTGCTGCAAGGGAGCTTGGGAAGGAGGATCCTCCTCCTCCCTCTCTGCTGGGACCAGCCTCAAGGGCATCATGGGAGCTTCCAGCCGAGGAAGAGCACCCAGCAACAACTTGCTCCCCTCCAGTTGTCGAATGGTCTGGACCAAAGAGCGATATCTGAAAGAAAACGCAGAGTAAATTGTAGAACACATTACATGTACATGTACAAGGTCTGAGGGAGAAAGATTCCAGTGAAAGCTTGAAGCAGATAACCTGACACGCTGGATGGGTTGTGACACAGAACCATTTGAGAAGTTGTTGAAACTGTTTGGTGCTTTCAAAAAATACTCTGCAGGTGATTGGATGAACTATCTGTCTATCAGTGTCTATCACAGGCGAACTTCAACCAGTCAGATCAACAGACTATATAATGTAGTCAAACTCTTACTGAAGCCAGTTGGGAGAAGAACTTCTTTTCCATCGGGAAAAGCCTTCAGTGCCGTTCTTTTCTCTTCTTTTAATGAAAACATACTCTCCAGATGTGATAGAACTGATGCTAGCATCTACTCCTCTACTTCTATGGACCATCGTTGTTTTGGAACCAACACAAGCGTCTGGCAGTCTGGCAGGAAGGATTTTCGCATAATTTTGTGATTTTGCTAATGCAGCTGCAAGGTAACAAGGTCTGTTTATCTATGAAAAATAAAAGCTGGAGTGGGTAATGTTTCTGCATGTTTGAACATAAAGGCTAAAGAACATACTTCATAAGAAATTTAGGAATCTATTTCTTACACTGAATGAAAATAAAACAAGAATAACAGTTTAGGCCTACTTGCTAGCAGCTCCATAAAAATCTGTTCCTCTAGCCCAGTGGTACTTTGAGCTAAATGTTAATATTAGCAAACTAATATGCTAATATTTAGCATGTTATAATATCTATATGTTTGCTAATTAGCACTAAACTCAAGGTGCAGCTGAAGCAGATGTAACAATGTCTGTACTAACTTTCATGGCAAATAATTGTTGAAAACTTTCCACCTGTTGGTGGCTCTAAGGGAGAAACCAGGAGATTGACAGAATGATCATCTGGGTCATGAATGTCAATATCAAATTTTATGGCAATCCTTCCAATAGTTAAAGATTTCAGTTTGGACTAAAGTGGTGGACATTTAATATTGCCATCCCTAATGCCTAACATTGCTAGGCCAATGTGAATGATGGGTTGCAGTACCATTGAGCCTGATCTTGTGAAAACTTCACACTAATTTAGTGTGAAAAAAATATACTTAATGATTCAAATCACTGAAACACAGACCAAGACCGTAACCCAAACTCTGTGGTGACAATTTCATTTGACAACAAAACTAAAAGTGAATAGAGTAGAATGCAACCTTATTTTCCACCAGAGTGGACAAAAACACAAAAGCGAGGGCATTCTGCACAGAGCCTAAATGATACTAAAAGGAAGAACCCACCACAACCACAGCCTGTTCACCCTGCTGCTGTCTGGCAAGCGATACAGAAGTATCCGCTGCCGTATCGACAGACTTCCGAGCAGCTTCTACTGTCAGACAGTGACACTCCCAAATTCATCCTCAGCACTCCAAAATGTAAAATTGTCTGACTTATTATTATTCAGCCATCTACAGTATATCATTTTTGTATGTGACGTTTGTTTCTGTGAGTAGCCTTATGGGACTACAACTTAGTCTCATCATACAACTAAGATTAAGTCAGCCTGTGGTGAATTTTTGCAGAAATCTTTTAACGGCAGACATTTTGACAACGCAGAAAAACCACAAGTGTAAATAAAAAATATGAATAATGGAATAATGGCTGCATTCCATTTGCAGATATTTGGCTTATTATTATTACGCCTGTGCTGATGCCTTCGATAACAACATTGGTCTGCTGCATAAAGGTCTATTATTGTGAAAACTAAGTTTTTCTAATAACTGAAACAGGTAATAGGATATCTGGAAGTACTAATTCAAAGACAACTGCCTGGATTTAGTCTTGAATATGTTACACTGTTTTCAGATAATATATATATAAAATATATATATTTTATACACAAATCTCACATAGTGCAACTTTAACAAATCAAATGACTCTGAGGACAGATCGTATAGTTAATTACTTGTGAAATCATTTCAGCCTCTCTTACTTTCTGAGACACACGATCCCCAGCAGTGTGAACACCAGGATGGTGAATGCGAGGGCCCCAATGAGGATGTAGACAAGCAGGTTCAGGGGCTCACCTGAAAGAGCCAACAGGATCAAAACAGTCAGCTCCAACATGCTCTCCATAATGTATTCAAGACGACTGGATGTAAATCTTACCTGTGAAACCCGATAGCTCACCTTGACACATTCCTTTGGTGGTGTTACTACTCATTGTGTTGTCTGCTCAGCACGAGTCACAATATCACCTCAGTCTGTAAGGTGATATTGTAGTATTTGAAATCAGTGATCCAAACAAAGGCTGACATTAATGTTTAATCACAAATCAAACATATGGGTCTTTCTTTAAATGTATTGCTTACACGAGGAAGATATATAATAATGTTTTAGAAGTCTGGTGTGAGAACAGAGCTACGGCTGTTTCTGTCAAAGCAGAAGCCCACAATAATAAGAACACACAGGAAGAGCCACATTAAGCTCATACATTCACATTTAATGCTCTATTACAAATTAAAACAGCCATACCTGTGTTTTCTGATGAACAGCTTGATAAAGTCCATCCTCCACTGATCAGAAACCAACTGGAGGAGTTGAGTCGAAGCGGCCTGCGGCTCTGTGCTCTTTATTCGGTTTTGAGTTGATCTAACCCTCAGAGAACTCAACCATGTGTTGTCTCAACCTCCAGCCTGTCTGTATTGTCTCCAGCAGGAGCTCTCATTGTGCGTCAACCACAACACAAGAAGAGGAAATGAACAGAAGCAGCTGGTGGTTTGAGCTGCATCACACTCATACACACTATTCTGCATTAGCGTCACTGCGCTGAATGCTAAACTAGGCTCAGCTCGCCCAGATGTCCAAACTTAGCTGCAGTGGGCAGTGATAAAATAAAGTGAGCACCAATCACTGATTATATTTTTGGAGATTTAGATTTAGAGATTTAGATGAAATTAAACTGTTTAATAAGGAACATGGATCGAATTGAGTGGTTTCATCTAAATAATTTTTTACCAAACGTACCCAAAAATCACATTTATTGAATGTCTATGAGAAATAAAGAGAGAAACAAACTTAAATGGATGTTTTTCAAAAACATTCAACCCTCATTTTGATGTATCGACAGGATTATTGTGGTATTCAGATGTAGTAAAAATTCAGTAAAAATAGCAGTAAAAGCAGGCTGTGTAAAATACATTAAGTAAAAGTGGATTGAGAATTATTCATTACTAAAATATATAACAAGTAGAACAAGAACACTGACTGACTGGTACTCCTTTTGTAGAGGTGCCCATGTGTTACATTTATATATTTTATTACTGCACCATCATTACATTTGGATAATAATGTGTAAGCAGCATTTAATGCAGCTGGTCCAGGTGGAGTTAATTTTAATTTAATTTGATTTATTAAACATCTACACATAATCGTACGAGTGAAAAAAATAAAAAATCTCTGGTCCACAGTTCTTCAAAAGTGTAAATTGGTGTAAAATAAATCAAGTAAAGTACAAGTACCTCAAAATGTACCGAAGTACAGTACTTCAGTAAAAGTTACTGGATGGACTTGGTAGTCCATTTCAACTAACATGTCTGTCAAGGTTAGATAAGAGGTGAAGAGGAAAAGCCCCCTGCATAGGACAGAAATATCTGTCAGTTGCAGCGTTTGATTCTGGGAACTTTCTGCAGAGACCCTGCATGTGGTTACCTCTTTCCTCTGCAGCCTCACTGCAGCACAATGTTACTTTACATGAAAGGAGGAAGATGACGAATGGAACTATTTTAAACAAGACCTGAGTCTGCTGCCGTGTACCAGGTCTAGGCACAGCAGTGCTTTGAGCTAAATGCTGTCACTATGGCAACACACTCATGAGGATGTTAACATGTTGCTGTTATGGGTAAATTGTTGTGGGTATAATTTGCTAGCACATCTGATGCATGTCATTAGGAATGTCATTAGATTTAGACAACAGGGATTCAAATAGACCAAATTACAATTGAATCATGCTCTGAGCAGCTCCAACGTAACAACTGTGCTGTACACCAGGTTGAATACGACTGGAGGTTTTAGTCAGCTGGTAGCCAAGCAGCAGATGAAGGAAGCAACCGATGCTAATCAGTTGAAGTGTGACTTCAGTGTGGATATCTTTAGCCTGGACCAAAGTGGTGGAGTCGACCGACCTCCATTACCATTACACCACGAGTGTGACTAAAAGCAAAATCAGCATTACTCCGGATACAAATAAAAACACAATCTGGTGATGTCATTTCCTCTGCAGAATTTAATTTGTTGCTTGGGTATTTTGTTACAGATCAACAGTATCACTCCATATACAACTACAAGTACAGTATTTTGTACAGTTCATATTCAAATACATAGTTTTCATTGGCTTATTTACAAAACACATTTTTTTTTATGTACATGTTTTCATGTCAGTGCAATGTCACTCTCTTTCAACAAACACGTTACAAAAAAAAGTTCTTTAAATTAACAACTCTGGTTCAGATCTGACAGAAATGAACTTAAATAAAAAGAGGCTACAGACAGCGACAGACAGCTCAGTAGTAGATTGCACTGCCTGCCAACACTCTATTCTTCAGGGGGTGGGGGCAGTAGGCGGGGCTTCTGGGGAGAGGGAGGGACTTACGATATTATCCCTGTGGTTCAAGGGATTGTGTTTGCCCAATTTCAGCGCCAAAGTTCGGTTCTTTTGGGCAGAAAATCTTTGTTCCTGGATTACGAAAATTGTGCTGAAATTAACCCCAACTTTAACTGGTATTTTTCTTGTACAGTTTAAGCTACAGGTGCGGCAAGCTTAGCATCACACAAGTAGTCATTTCAGGGACATTCACAGCCAAAAAAAAAAAAAAAAAAGAAAGTTGACAGCTATTGCACCTTTACATGAAGCAAACATTACAAAGTGGGTTCTCAAGAGACAAATCCTTAGGAAAACTTTCCCTTTGATCCATGTCAAGACGTTTCAAACACGGACACAAACGGGACATCGTCTACAACTCGGTGCAATGGCAGGAGGGTGGAGGAAAAGAAAGAGCTGAGCAAGCAAACATAAATAGCACTCGTGTACATTTCCATTTGTTCAACAAACGTACTCTGCAAAGGAAAATAAACTTTCATTCAGTGACAAATACATCCATAATGACGCCTTCTCCTCATAAATACAGCAGCTAAAAAGGGGGTGAGCACAGAGATTCATCTCCTGTCGTGTAGAAGACAGAGTGGGGGAATCGTGGGGAACCGTCTGCTGTCTGTTCACAGTGATTAGACCGAGCCCCGCGCACGAGGAGCTCCACGCGTGCTGCTACACACCAGACACGAAGCTCTGCTGCTGGACTCCACAGCAAAACACGGGTTTGTTCTTTTCAAACTAACCTCAACAGTCACATCAAGTAGCCAAACCGTCGGATAAAATGAGAAACACAATTCAGAATCGACATGAAACCAATATTTAGACTCGGCACGCGGAAAACAAATGATGATCTAAATGTTGGGTCCAGTGATGTAGTGAAGATTTACAGATCTGACAACAGTCCAGACACATACTGTAGCTCTCAACAGAAGAGACTTAAAGCATCTGATATCAGAGGGTCTATTTATGTGGGCAGAAGCTTTGGTAACACTTTATAGTACAGGCCTGAACTGTAGAGTTTTATAGCATTTGTTTATTTACAGAGAAATTTCTATAAAACAGTCCAAATCTAACTTAAATAATAGATCATTATTCATGCATTATCAATTTAATATTGGAAACACATCTTGAAATGTGTGCATGTTGCCAAATTACACTAGCAAGTAACTGGAATTAATTAGTTGGACACGTACCAACACTGGCTCCATTCGCTCTGTAACTGCTACAGAATTACACTATTCTTTCTAGAAATGGCTTTAATGACTTTGTGGTTGCACATTACTTCCATTGCTGGGTCTATTAATCCACTAGGGGGCCCCAGGGCCTAAATGGAGCTGTGGGCCCCAACCCATGGGATACAATGTTATATTTAGCAGTTAGTTTATTGTTAATTAATCTAACATTCATTTATTTAGGAATATGCACCATATAAGTACAATATCAAGTGAAATACTAAAAGCACTAAAACCAGATTTAGTCACAAGGCCCCGTAATAATACAGGGCCTTAATATTTGGTATAACTGAAGGACGGTCCATATTACCAAACCCATTGGCAATTTGTTAAACTAGCTGTGGAGCCTGAGAGTCTGGGACCTGGTAATCCAGCTTTAAGACCTGTAAAATCAAGTGTTACTGAGGCTTCTGCAGACATTTAGCAGGGGGTCCTCGTAACATTCACCACAAGGTGCATGTCAGCGCTTTATTTACGGTAACGTAAAGATGTGTTATGATAGACCTTTAAAGAGTAACTTAATGCCCCCTGAAAATCTGGTTTTCGCTGACTGTCAGTAGTTTCACCTATCAGCTTGCTGCAATGATGTACAGGTGTACTCCAGGACACTGTGACATCACTGCTGGGTGTGGTTAAATCTTGTGTGTCTCCAGAGGGAGATGTGTGAAGTGAAGATTAATGTCCTCAATTCAAGTTGCAATGTGGGTAATGTAGGCGCCAGGTTTTGATGAAGAAGAATAATGTGTGGAATAAAAAAAGACAATATCTCTGGTTCTGCTGCATCAAATTTGATGCCTTTTTTTGTTGGACTGTCCATTGTGTGTCTGACAGTGTGATAAAAGTGCAATGCTAAATCAGTGGAGTACTCTTTTAAGTTACTCTTTAAATAACAATGTTAAAAGGACAGGTAAAATCATTTTGTAATCCCTAATGTTCCAACTTTTTCTGGTTTCTTATTGGGGAGGGTGTGAACATCAGTATTAACAGTTGAGTTTGAATCACAACAGCTGAGAATTGCAGCAGGTGACAGGACAAGCTTTGAGATAAATATCCATTCCTGACCTGAAGTGGCTCCTGAAACCTGCCTTCAGAAAATAAAAATCAAAAAAAAAAAAATCACAACAATAAAATGTTATAAAACAACGCATTTGCGGGAAAAAAAACAAAAAAAAAAACATATACTGTATTATTCTTTAAGCGTCTCTTTGTTGAAATCATGGCACCTGTCCTAAACAAACCAAAGACTCACTGAAGCTTTCCCAGAAGTTATGAGTACACACAGGCCAACATTGCACAAATCACCACTGATATTTGGCAGCTGTGGGATGAAACACAGTTTGGGCAAAAATGCCTAATTTCCTGTCCACATCGGGACCTGTGTGAGTGTCCTACAAAAGGCGTGGAAACATTTTTTGGGGGGGAAGTTTCCTGAAATGTGTGTACCACGACTCCTACACTGGAAGGAAGCATTTTTAATTATTATTATTAATACTGACACAGACTTTTAGGGTAGAGTTGGCTGACAGACTGCGTGAAGCGATGAGGTAGCATATGACTAACGTTTTCCCTAGTGACACTATCGCTAATAAAATCTTTTGACAACCTTTTTTTGTCACGGTATCCGATATACTAGATACCAAATTTCAACATCATGTTGACCCGTGGCATCAAATATGACACAAACAGGCTCTTTAACTGTTGGGCTCCATTAACACTTGGCATTTAAAACTCAATCAGTATCCAATCATTGGCCTTGCATTTACACCTGGAGTTCATTCTGTGGTCTCAGTGTTTTCCTTCTTCGGGTCAGACATCCAGGCTCAGATCACATGACCACTCCAGGTGTAAATGTTGTTTTTTCGTTCTGACATCACAAGTGATAAATGCGCAATAACAAAGCAACATCACTTCATGACTTGGCCGTACTGGCATACATTCAGAAATGCGTTAGTATGCAAGTATATGTTACATGTGTGTTATGGCGAGGGTTGTTCACATGAAGGGGTGGGGGGGTGGGGGTGGGGGGGTTGTTTCATTAGGCTCAGCAAAGTGCACCAGTTTAGTGCTTTTCACCAGGGCTTCATCGTTGTCCTGGCAAACCTTTGCACTAATCCATGTTTGCGATCAAGTGTAGAAAGTGCTGCGACGCAAGACAGAGAGCACAGTCTGACTCTAGTCATTAGCAGTTTGTGAGAATTCTTCAGAACGATCTGAACGTCTGGTGCTTCCTGCTCAGAGCAGCAGGTTGTAGTGCTGGCTGATGGAAGACGAGGTGCCATCACTGGAGGACACAGTATTTCTTGTAGTCGGACTCAAAGTCTTCATCCATGCTACTGGTGTCGGCCATCTTCTTGCCGTCGATCTTTGGCAGGAACTGGGAGTAGTCGACTCCCTGCTGCTCGTAGAAGAGGATGTAGGCCGAGTCGGTGTCGATCTCCTCAGAGTGCACTTCCTGGAGGAAATAAAAGCAACACAGAGGTCATGTGATTGATCTTGTTAAGATCATGTCAATGAACCTGTTGTTGTGTTTATTATCAGAGACAATGTCTTTCAACATTGCACACAGATTTAACGTGTGTTGGCATGCATCCACCACTAGATGCCTCTAACACTGGACATAATGGCTCTTATTTGAGGCAACATGCTCAATAGCAGCACCCTGACTCTGTTTGACATGAAAGGAACTGAACCTAATTTAGTATCATTGGTAAAACCTACATTTACCCTACTATTTTATTTGAAAATGGCTGCTGTGAAAAAGGTCTATGGTACAGGAACATCTGGGACATGACTCGCTCAGTGGATGATTCAGCCCTGAAAGCTACTGTTTCCAGTTCCACAAAATAATTTAGTTAGCTTCTATCTTTCAACATCATATCTTGGCTGTGGAGGGTGGTTAGGCATGAGGGACTGACAAACATGCAGTTAAATCCAGTGCTTACAATTTTGCTCCTGTATTGCCTGGTTTTAGAAAGCTGTTAGTGGGTGGGGTTTATCAAGCAGTCGATGCAAGAGTCCAAAGGGGATACTATTTATAGGCACTGTGTAAGGGTGTCATACTGTTTGTTTGGCCAGTTACCCATGGCAATAATCAAAATATAGTAATGAAAGCCGTGGAAATAGAATAAGATGCGTCTTACCTTACAGCTGCTGTCATTGTAACAGTACCATTTCTCATTGGGGTTTTTGGCATATGTCACATAGTGGCCTCCTCCCATGATTCCTGAATGGCACTGAAGAGATAAAGCAGAAAAATATTTTAGACTTGTTTCAAAGCCTATTGAGAGAGCCTATCAGAAAATCTACAACTACTTACTGATATTGCATAGAGGTTGTAGATGGCGTCCAGACACATGTTGTCTCTGTGCTGTAGCAGTGAATTATCAGGGTCCATGCTACTCTCTGTGCTGCAGTCTGAGCTCAGCCCGTTGCTGTCACCGTTCACCAGTACCACGTCACAGTGGCTGCTGGACGCCTCAGTGCTGAGCGACAATTCCGACACTATCGGCTCTTCTGATCCTGCCTCGTTCCCCTCTGTGTCCGCCTGCGGTGCACCGTCCCGTGGCTCGGCCTCAGGATTAGCTGCTCCATCCAGGTTCTCCTTGCTGTTGGAGAGGCGGTTTCTGCTTCCCAGCTGGGGCAGGCGTAGCCGGCCTGGTCTGCGCCCTCCGCTGCTGGTCTTAGGGCTGCCGGAGGGGCTGCCGGTCCGGCTGAGAGAAGGCGCCGACTTCCTGCCAGAGGCGGGGGAGGCTGTTGGGAAACCACAAGGTTAAATACACTTCCTCTGCAACTGGGCTTCGGCTCAGCTATACCACAGTCTATTTTGTTTTGCATGCTGTCATGCTCTTAATCATCAGACACCAAATGAAAGAACAGAGGAAGATGCACAGGTCTCTTGTGAATGTGGTTAAAGTGTGTGCACGAGTGGATTGCAATATCAGGCTTAAATCAACATGTGGTACCTTTGGGGAGATTGCAGAAGCCGGCGGGGGCAGAGATAGAGGACAGGTTGTCTTCTCCAACCCTCAGCAGATCCTCGCTCTCGCTGCGGGAGTGGAGGCAGTGCTGCTCCAGGTCTCTGGGAGCCAGGAAGGCGCTGGGGTCAAAATTTTCCCGCGGGAACTTAACAATCTTTTGCGACTTGATCCAGCGGCCGTTCACAAACTGGAAGCGCTTCAGGTGGACAATCTGAACAAGAAATATAAACACATCACACATACTGTGTTGTCCTAACAATAAATACTACTGAACAGCACATGTGGAACTCCTGTCCCTGTGAGGCCAGAGCTCAGATCTGACACAGACTCAGAAGAGAGCCACTGACCAGAACGGGTGGCAGCCTCCAGAGGTCCAGCTTCTTGGTAGCCAGTCGGTGAGTCTTGCACTTGGAACAGTAGTAGAGCTCATCCTCGCCCAGCTCTTCCTCGCTGGTGAAGGCCTTCAGACAGCTGTCCAGGCTGATGGGCTCAGCCTGGGCCCGACGGGACTGCTCCACACTGCAGTGCTCCTCCACGATCTGCAGGGAGACCATGATGGTGAGTGCGATGATGATGCATTCACTGTCCTACTTTTTGTCTAACTTTTCGCAAAGGTGCAACCCGTGTAAAAACCAAGTTCGAGTTTCAGAGGACACCACCTAATGCTATCATTTTGTCATTTCTTCAGTTTCAGTTTTTAAAAAAGGTTTACTGTCGCGGTTTAAAAAATACATAAAAATGACAAAGATAACAAATAATTTACAGCGCAGAGAGGCAGGAACCCTGGTGGGCTTTTATTCCTCCATCTGAAGTAAAACTTTTACAGTTATAAAAACATAAGATTAACATACAGAAAATAATATACATGAACATAATATAAATAATATACAGACTACATAAAATTGATGCCAAATTGTATGTGTTACAGCTACAAAAAAGTTTTTGAAGCATTTTGTAACATTTCACACAGGAAAAGCTTTTTGCCAAGTTGGAAAAGTTATTCCGTATTTTGGAATCTTATCGAAAAATGTACCTCTGCAAGAGAGAAATTTAGACGAAGATCTGAAGATTGACAACTTAAGTAGCTGTATGCGAGTACTGTTTTTAAGCTGTATTTTGCTGCTATATAACCAGCTCTGTTCAGCACAAAGCTGCAGTTGATGCTAGGCCAGCCATGATAACTACGTTTGTTGACCAATTGTCTTAGAGACAATTGCAATAAACAATATTATTGTAATTTTAAGAAGATTTTATGCCACTGATATAATGGTGAGCATAATAATGTAAGTGCACCCTTTCAAAAAGCAGTGAACTTTTAATTCTAAAGAATATGCAGACATTGCAATTGGGAAAAGATATGAAAATATCCTAAATAAATAAAACATAAATAAAACCACACAACCAAAACAACATATAAAATGGGTTTTTTGGGGTCTGTTAACAAAAACTGAACTAAATTTTCAACATTTGGCACAGAGGTCAGCTATGGAGTCATTCCTTCCTTAACAGGCAATACAGTAATGGCAGGGCAAACCCTGCTGCTTATTCTGGCATCATGTTGGCTAAAATGTTGGTGATATTCTTAACATACCGATATCATTCATAATAAAATCTTCTTACGACAGGCATACCTGAAGCAGCACTTTTAGCAGAAAAGGTGAAGTAATTCAGGGGCAGAATAAATCAGCTGATTGAAGTAAGCATTAAGCAGCTCACTGCTAACTCTGTGTGGTCAAACTCTGAACTACAGCAGGTTGTGTTTAGCATCTCATCTTATTACTTACTTATCTCACTTAGCTTTTATCTCACAATTGACACAATAACGCAAGCAGAAAGTGAACCACAGTGATAAAGTTATAACCTTGGAACCTGTGCGGGAAAGGAAATCTGTCTAAATGTCAGTAGGCCGCAGGGCAGAGGGACAGCAGCAGTGTAACTGACTCAGCAGACAGTCAGAGGCTCACTCTTACTTCTTACATACTGACAAGATCATCTCATTTTTAGGCTCAGTTACTTTCCAGCAGGTTATTTTGGTTGTCTACAGTTATCAACTATAGTACAAAGGAGGCATAAAACTAAAAACAGTGCTAGTGACAAATACTGTATATCCTCCATTACACTGAAGGAAAGAAAAACTGTGCACGTATGTTTGTAAGGATTGCACTTTCCTTTATGTGGAGGACAGGGAAATGTGGTGAATGGCTGATAATTAACACTGTGTAATGTATTGCTATAGCTTGTATGTCGAGATAATTATAAAATGGACAGGATGTATGAAAAAAAGGAAAGAAAAAGAAAACACACAAAATTGTGACTTTCATTTTTTGTAGAAATAGCTCTACTGCTCTACATTTCACTTTGTTTGGGGAGAGTCTATCTAGTGCCCCCAGCGTGGGAGGGAGAGAGACAGTGTGTGTGTGTGTGTGTGTGTGTGTGTGTGTGTGTGTGTGTTTTTTTTTTGTTTTTGTGTGTGTGTGTGTTGTGTGTGTGTGTGTGTTTTACCCTCTCCTGGGAGGTCTGGTAGCGGAGGTGCAGGGCGGTGGGGTCCCAGTCCACAGCTATATAAGCATTTCCTACAGACGCTCTGTCCTCTGCACACTCTATTGTACAGCCTCGACAGAACCTGGAGAAACACAGACAGGTACAGGTGGAAGCCATACATTATTAACATTCACAGCATACAAACAAAACAGAAATGTGCATCACTCTGAATGTCATTTTTAGTCTTTGTGTCATTTGATCATTCTGATCCATGTTTGTGCACAGACAAAGAGAAGAAGAGTTTTCCTTATTTATATATATATATATATATATATATTTAATATTTTGATCATACATTTTTACATTAAATGTGTGCTCTAATCAAATATGACAAACTTATGACAATCTTATATCAAAATCTGTACAATGTCTCTCAGTCTTACCTGTACCAGGGACACCAGGCACATGAGTTGCCGTCCTTTCCCACAACCCGTAAAGTGAAGGGGTACTGGTAGCCCATACTGTCATCACTGCAGGTTAAAAGACAAAGAAATGAATTCAAGAATCATGTTCCTCATGCACACTGTCGATGTGGATATCATTGTTTGAAACTTTTTCTTTGCCTCTCCACAGTCAAGGTGTGAGGAGTACTACTAATAGTTTTATTCTTGCATTGGGCACTTTTGGCTTTTGGTGGAACCCAGAGTAAACTATTCTGAACAAAGGAATGGATCAGGCTTCAGACAGCAGATACTGATTAGCCCTGATTCCTGATTGTGAGGATCAGCTCAGGCCATTCCTAATCATCATCAATATGTAACAGTAAATAAGAGGACTATGTCTCGGTAAGATCAGCACAAAGATACTAGCGTAGCATTGTGATGTGTTTAGCCTAGCTTAGCACGACTGAAGGCAAGAGGAAAACTGCCAACCTACATAGCTCTGTCAAAAGCACGAAAACACAAAACATTGTGTCAACATACCAGTCCTGGGCGTGGTTGCTGGCTTCCTGTGGGGGCAGTGGGCTGGCCAGTCGGGACACTTGGATCCAGACGGCGTCGTACAGATCCTTCTTACTGGTGTGGACAGTGCAGGGAACTATGAGCGGCATGCCGAACAGACTGGGTCGGTTCTTCTGGGATGACAGGAAGTACAGCTCCGTACGCATCTGAAGGGGCGACACAAACGTGTAATGATTCAGAATCAGATATTTGCACACATACAAGGAATTTGACCTCAGTGTACATACACAGAAATAGGCATATACATACATACACATACACATAGCAGGTAGACAGAGAGACAATAGTGCAATGGTGCAGAGTGCAAAGGATGCTGGAACAAATATTTTAATGTAGCAGGTTATTTTATATATATAATATGACATAATATGTTTAGATAACCATCGCCTAGAGAGCAACGGCAGCAAAGGGACATGATGTAGTAACACTGCATATTAACAGTATTCATCCATTCAACTGTAAAATTACTGACTATATATATTATTTTGCACATATTGTACTGTACAATACAGCACACTCTCACCATCTTTCTGTGCATGGCAATGATGTATCCAATGAAGGGGCTCTCCTGCACTGGTGTGATGTGTCCGTTGGCGACCCCATTGGCCAGGGGTGTCTCTGGGCTGCAGGGCACCATGGTGCTGGGCCCACCGTTGGGGATGAGGACGGGCTTGTTTACCGGGTTCCCATTAGCAGTGGAGCCGTTGGCTATTGGGGTGATATCTAATGAAGGCCAGGAAATGAGAAAATGTGCATTAACATACACAGGGTTTCTGCAGGTCCCAGCAGGTTAAATTGAACCTTTTTAAGGTAAATTATAAATGCAATTTAAGACCTATTTTACGTCCATACTACATAGGCTACAAAAAAGGAATCTCAACAGTAAAGTAAAAAAGCCTTGTTTCTGGTAAATGAGTCTCATTTTTTGTCAGAAAAGAAAAAAAATCTCGTCAAGCATGTTTTTCATTAGAAATGTCATCTGGTTTTAAGAAAATAGATCTAACTGTGCCTTAATAATACATTATAGCTAATAGTGAGCTCAACTGAATTGGTAACAAGTTACAACAATGGTTTGCATAATATCCCAGCAGAGGAACAAGATTATTTTCCACTTGCACAACTTCTAAATTTAAGTAGTCTTGTCCCAGTGTTGGAAATGAAAATGCTAAAAATAGGAATGCTTCAAGTCATTTTATTATTTTATTATGCTGTTTGAAGAAATTCTGTCTTTTTGTAAGACTTGCTAATTATTAATCTTAGATTAAGGTACAAATTCTCATATTAAGATCAATAAAGAATGCTTATTTTAAGAATATTAAATAATTGAGTTTTCTTTGCTTGCAATAAGCGCAACTTGCTACATGTCTTTCAAGTTTCAAAGCCCATGACAGTGGGAGATTGTTTTGCTGAATACAAGAAAATATGATTCTATTTAAGAATGTTGACTTGTTTGTAGAAGGGAATGTTTTTGCAGTATACGAAGGATATGAATCTGTATTGGTTTTGTTGTGTAACTGTTACAGCATGATCTCCACAGTAATTTCTCAATAACAAATTTAAAAGTGTGAAAAATGCAACTTTATACAAGTAACATAGTAAGTAAGTTCATCCAATCAATCAATCTATAAGACCTGTCAATGTCATATTTAAGACATTTTAAGACTAAAAATAAAAATCAGGTTATTGGACACTCTGGACATGCTGATAAGAGCGCAAAGACAAGGTGTGAGTGAACAGGCTAACCTGATAGTGTGGGTGAGCTCAGTGATGTCGGTGAACCCGGAACCGGGATCTCAAAAGCACACAGGAAGCCGTTGACAGACAGCCGGACCTTCTGGTTGTCCTGAGGAAAGTTCTGAACACATAGGATTTGGACATCAGACAGCAGCACCTCACAGTAGAGCAATAACAGAGAGCACTGCATATGTAATGGAGTAATGGAACTGGCAATTATGCATTTATGAAGAGTGCCTTTCAGACACTGAATCAATCAATCAATCAATCAGCTGTCAATGTGCATCTCTGTGCCCCCTCAGTCTCATTACCTTGATGTTGGAGGTGTGGACCTCAGCCAGGAGGATCTGCTCAGGCTTCAGACTGCACAGTTCACTCAGCTGTTTCTTCAGCCCTGTGTACTTTTCATCCATATTCAACCTAAGGCCGTAGCGTATGGGTGTGGAGCCGTCCAGTTTAATGACTACAAACACACAGCAAGAAACATGATTCAAGTTTTGTTGTTTAAAAAAATGTATTTATTACGAAAATCTGTCCTCCATCCTCCTCACCAGTGATCTCCAGATGCATGGAGCTGTCCATGGGCAGGGGCAGAGACAGGAAGTTGAAGGGGTCGAAACGAGCACTGATGTGTCCGCACGTCTTACACTTCACCTGGGACTTGAGCTGACCGTGGAACAGATCCACCACGATGGAGCGGTTCCTACGCAGGTGGTTCTCCCACGCCTTCAGGGTGGAGGAGCATGGACACACACAAACAACACACACAGAGTGGTGAGTTCACACACCAATAATCCTGCAAATCCCACCCCTCAGGACATACAGAACACAAACAGGACATCAATACAGGAACATTACCAATTTAAAGGAGAGCTTAGCTGATGGGCTGACTGGTATTGACTGCTCTCTGCTCCTCATCCTCTGACTCTCTCACAATGGACACCAGAGCTCATTACCTCCTCCTCCTCCTCACACCATCTCATTATCTCTCTTCAAACTGAATTAATCAACATTTCGAAAATCTCAGACATTGCTTGCTGTTATATTATTCAGTCAAATGGACAACCTGCTAATTTCTAAAGTTACAGAATTTAAAATGAACATGTTTTTAATATTGACTCCATTATGCAGCCTCCAGTATGGTTCACTGCAATACTAGTTTGGTGGGTAAAAGGTACAACTACATCTTAAAATGGAACACAATGCCCTTACTCTGATATATGTTAAATAATATTTAACTAATTGAACCATCTTCAATCCCTGCAAACACATTTTCTGAGTCTTGGGATACTACATGAACACTTCTAACAGAGTTGGAACAATTCTGGTTATTTAAAATTTTTGTTTGTGATTTTTGTGTTACTGGTTTTAAATGCTCAGTTGGGAAAAAATGATGTCATGTACTTTAGTGCTCTGATTAGGACATCTGTGGGGTAGCTTTCCAGCTGCTCTCAATCTAATCTGATCAAACCACACCCACACAGTCCTGATGAGGAGTTTTTGGGTGTTTAACTCCTCAGAAATAACTAGGATGCTCTTTTTTCAAACTTCCAATTTGATTGTTGTTTATATAGTCATACATATTTAAACCTGCAATAACTGATTTTTTGGGCCACTTGGGGGCAGCAGAAACGAGCTGTAAACACAACACTAACACATCAGCACCTTTGAAGTTAATATGTTGAACCTGTTAGCAAACAGTAGCTTATTTCTACATCTAGCAGTTACAGAGCAACATTAGCATTCATTTGGAGTGTCCTTGTGTCACCTGATAAATGTAAGTTCAATATTCACTATTTTGGCTTTGTTTCAGTCTTCCTGAGGGAAATATCTGGCTCTTTAGATGCTCAGTGCCTCACTATGATCACCAGCTAGTCACTAACTTTGTGTGTCTGCTGTTTTCTATTGAGCAGGTAGTGTGTGGGTCTAAAAAAAAAAAAGACCCTATGAGAGCCGCAACAGTGAACCAAAACAGTCAAGTTGCAGCCCAACAACTAAACACTGAGCTGAAACTCACTTTAAAGTTCCATAAAGCTGAAGCTGTTTTCACAATGTCATTTGACATGATCATTAATATTAAAATATCAATTATAGCCGCTTTAATTTTATAGAGAAATACTGTTTTGAAACCAAGTTTTCAGGGGCTTTAACACTGTTGTGTACAGACATTATGTAAAATATTAATACTGAATACCTGTTGTGACATTATTAACCAGAGATGGACTTTAGGATCAATTATGAAGAGCAAACATTCTTACTTGGCTTCGGAGATAGTGATATCCTGAGGAAGTGTATTTAAAAACAAATAAATGTGCATAGTGTCTGTGTGTGTGATTTGACAGCAACTCAGAGAAGAAATATTAGGACATTTCTGACCTCAGAGGCCACCTCCCAGTCAGGCCGGCCATCGCTGTCCTTCAGCTCCACGTAGGGTTTCTCATGGACTCTGTTTAGATCTTCATGGAGGCCGTCCAGCAGGAAGGCTAGCAGCTCCTGGGAGTCCTGCTGCTGGAAGCCATTAAAGCGCGGGGCGTACTTTGCTATTGTCCACTGGAGAGGAAGAAATTACGTCATAAGCTTTATATCTATATGACTTTTAAAAGCATTTTTGAAGGCACTTTATAAAAGTGTGTATATCTGTATAAAAGTTCAGAAACAAACACAAAAATTGTGATTCAGATCTCAGAAAGGTGAAGAGTTACAAATCAAAACTGCCTACCCGGAGTTTGAGCGGAGCCACGTTCTTCTGTGTCCCGCTCCACAACTCCATTACCAGGTCACCATAACACTTGGCCATGTGACCTCGCATCCCGATGGGGTTGGTTCTGTAAATGCACCAACAAAATTAGCCAGTTAGAACAGTGGTTCCCAACTTTTCAAACCTTTGAAACTGTTTTAAACTGACAAAGTGGCATATGTTATAGATATTTCATATTATATTAAATGCATAACAATAGAACACAATAACTGCAGGAAGTTTGTGTAAAACCAGAGATTTGGATGTATTTCGAGCAGATTATTTCCTGTCAATATTGATCAGAGATGAGTTTTCCTGATATTTTTAGGAAGTTTTTATACACTTCTCTCTTTTTTTCCTTTTTAAACAATCATGCACACTTAATAGGCTTCTTTCTTTTTTAACAAATTCAGTGTTTTCTTCTCTCCAATACTTGTCCATTGTTGGTTGTTTATACTTTTCTAATGCAGGTAAAGGCTGTTTATCAGAGAGCAAAGGCTCTGTCAATATAGCTAGTGTTAAGGTTTCCACTGTGATATATATTTTTTATATCTTATGATATAGCTGATATATAGGCCTACTGTGTATTTCTTTTGAAAAAGGTTTCCTACAAATCAAGAAGGCCTCACAACCCCATGAAGCTTTAGCAACCCCTACTGAGGGTCGAGACTCCAAGTTGGGAGCCAGTTGAATGATAAATTCAGAACAATGTTGGCAAGATCTATACCAAAGTAATACATTAAAATGGGTACCTGTTGAGCTCATAGAGGTGTCTCCCTGAGATGAAGTAGTCAGTGAGAGGCTTGGTGTTGCTCACACACTGGATACTGGAGTTCATGAAGCAGGTGTTGCCAAGGTTACTGAGTCCAGTGGCTCCTTTCTCTGTAGGAACTGGGAAGGCAAACAAGGACATGATGATCAGATTTAAAACAACACTCAACAGGAGAAAAAACGCTAAATAAGCACAAAAAGCTTTCTTTACAGACCAGCACCAACGACCTTAATATCCTTTACTATTGCACATATGACCAACTGTGAAGATCACTGCTGCAGTGTGACAGCCGAATGCCAGAGTTTATATCAATTACTCTCAGCATGCTTGAACATTACCCAACAACCATTAATATAAATCTACATAGCAACTTTTTATTAAATCTACCATATTTATGTTGCATTAATGTGTGATTACACCCTGCATCAACTTTGAAAGAAGACATCTGGAATTCAGTGTCAAACAGCTGCTGAAACACCTGCTGTAAAACATGTGAGAATGATCGTAAAAAGGACAACATAGAAGAAAATAACCACATACGGTATTTAAAGGTGTTAGTGAGCAGCAGATTAGCACGAAGTGCTGTACTATATCATTAAGGTCAGAGGAGTGTACTACGAAGCAAGATTAGTGGGTTAACAGGGTATTTTGAGCCTAACACCAGATTATTTATTGTCACAAAGGTTGCTCTCTTTTAACCTGGCTAGATCTCAATGGTAACTTATGCTGTACCCCTAACCTGCTCTGGAGGTGGTTATTTTCAGAGTTTGGGATTTAAATTGGCTGTAAAAGGTGCCAGTTCTTTTCCTGACAATGTATCTATCAGTGGTATCGATTCTTGGCTGATGATTACGTTATATATGCAAACTTGTTGAGCCATATGTTTCTCATGTAACCAAATGAAGCCGTGTAATTACAGTAGTGAAAACTGTATGCATTATTGAATTGTGTTTCTTAAACCTTGTCTCCTAGGATTTAAATCTGTATATTATTAAACTGTCATAATTACATTGTGGTAACAATGTAATTGCTGCCTGGGTGATATTCAGAGACAACACATTTTCCTGTTTGCTTCTGGTAATATGAAGACTTTAAACGTTACAGTGATTATCCATCCTCTACCAGTATTTCTCTCGTCTTATACAGCTTTTTACTGTAATCATTTTATATAATGTTATATAATGTTATGTCCTTATAGCTCTCCATTTTAACAAAGTAGACAGCACTGGTTGTTCCATTTTGACCAAGAATTAAATGTTGCGTCAAACTCTCACTCTTCAAAGAACATTGATAACCACCCACCATGATACTCATCATCTCTGATTGGGGTTTTAGGTTTTGTCCCTCTGGTCCTCTCCCTAACTAACCCTGACTAAAAAAAACTATTACTGCATTTATTTCCCCCATAGTACTTTAAAATCATTATATTTCTTTGGAGACTCTTATTTGTAAGAGTCCATAAGATGTGCTATGATTAAAGAATTTCTGAATGTTCATATTCACCAATCAGAGCATGTGTATTCAAGACAATGCCTGACTGAAACTACCAGTCCTCTACCATCTGCCTTACAAATATTGTGTACAAATACACAGTAAGCTCATTCAGTGTCTTCCAGCTTACCTTTGTGTCTGTCCATCTTACTGCTGTTGGCAATGAAAGACATTTCCTCAGGCCAGCTCATGTCTTTGTTCCTAACTGTGGTGGAAGAGGAAGAGATTAAACCATTTTGCTCCCACTTTCATGTGCCATTACTCCGAATGACCTGTTACATTATTACAATATCTGTCAGTTATAGCACTGTTATGAGTCTGAAGAGAGTTCTGAATAGAGATGTTAACAGAAAGGGGGACGTGTTTTATACCTTCAATAACTAGCTGCTGCTCATCATGGATCTTTAGGCTTTCCAGTGTGTGATCTTCATCGTCAAGGAGGGTGAGGTAGTTCTGCAGGACAAAGAGGAGACATCACGCTGAAACTGGGAGTACTTTATCCAACTGCTTTATAACTTTTGATTTATTAGGACTATTGAATTATTAATCAGCAGTTATTTCTCCTGCAACAATTCAGCTTAAAAGTGTGCTCCAATAACAGTTGAGAAAGCATTGGTCAGAACCTCGGTCAACTTTCTCTTTTCCTGTACTTATAGATATGCTATAGGCTAGGCTCTCTATGTTGACACATTTGGAAATATGTTATTATGTATTGAGGCTTGTGCATATACTGGTTGACAAATATCTGACATTTCATAGAAAAGTAAAGGGGGCTTTTGTGTCAGCTTTCAGGCCCACCTCACTGTTGTACAGCCAGAGTCTCATGTCCTCCTCCTTGATGCGTAGTCTCTGGGACAGGTATAGATGGATGTCCTTGATGGTGCCCATGCGGCTGAAGCAGCCTGTGTAGGCCAACACCCTCTTAAGAGGAGCATTGGGGGATGGCACGTTACCTGCTGAAGTGCACAAAGAAGAAAGGAACATTCACAAACTGACCCAATCACACAATCTGAAGACAAGCACACGTTTAAAACTCAGCTGAAGCTTCTTCCCTCGTATGCACAAGCTCACAGATTCAAACAACTGATCGATAACAGCATTCTGGTGACTGAGGATTAGTTGTAAGGAAGCAGCAAGAAAGGGCTTTTTTGGCAATCAGCACAGACTTGATTGGTCAATCAACTTAGTGGATTTAGTGGACTCAGATTGGATTAAATCAAATACAAACCAATAAATATTAGTCCTGTTAAATAACTGATACTGATTTTAAAATGATTAATACAACTTTTAATATCTGATTTTCAAATGTTACCATTTTTCTATCTACACAGCTTTGCCACAAAATGAACCGTCCTCTCCACTTGTTTGAGTGCTCTACTCTTGCCCCAGGCTGTCAGGAAGACATTATGCTGAATATGATGCATAATTAGATCCATTTCAGATATTTGGCCACATGCCTGAGACAGGGTCTTATTGCCCAGCAAGTACAAGTTGCTGCTCAGACAGAGTATGAGTCATGATGGAAGCCACAGCTCCACCAGGGATTCAGGTCTGCGCTGTGGCCTGAAACCTGATATGCTGACTTGATTTGGACCAGGGCTCTCATGCTGAGTGCTGATGCCCCGACCTGATTACAATGGTGCAACTGTGTAAATCTCCACTTTATGCTTTGTCATCTGCTTTCTTTTTGCAGTGAAGCATTTTCAGTTTATACTTGTCCATTATATCTATTTAGACATAATGCAAAGGGACAATAAACAATGGAGTGAAAGGCAGTTTCTTTTATTGAGCGAGTGAGTGGGTCTATATATAGGGTTTCTATTGTGAGTACATCAGACCTGAATTGACTGAAGTGGAAATGACTGAAATAAATTTACTTTATTTGCTACAGTCATCAGCCTAAATAAAGTGACAGATATTTTATATTTGATATTTATACCAACTAACTGCTCTGTAATACTGCATGTTGTCATATCTGCCTGCATCTGGCTGAGCCATAAAATAGTGAAGAGGTGGCAGTGGTTACAGACTGGATTAAATGAGAATCTTCCATCATTAAATACATTATAACAACACTGACACGAAGACCAAACAGGCAAAAGGTATTCAAACTAGCCAGCTTGTTGTTGATTGGAACATTGAACCAAACAAGCAATAACAAGCTTAGACAACTCTGTAATTAAACATCAATCTTGGAGCCATTCCGGTATTTATCATCTGGGGGCAACAGCCAACGTTTCAGGGCTACTGGTTTACCCAGTGGATATCCTGAAGATGGACAACGGATATCTAGAACAAGACTTTCCCTAGAAACCAATTAATTCAATTCAATTTAATTTTATATGTACAGGGCCAAATCATGACAGAAGTTATCTCAAGAAACTTTTCAAATAGAGCAGCTCCTTATAAAATTATTTACAGAGAACCAACAGTTCCCACCATGACCAAGCACTTGGGGTCAGTGGCAAGGAAAAAGACAGGCAGAAACCTCGAGCAGACCCCACCCAGATGAGCGTAGAGCACTAGAACAAGTGACGTCAAAACGAATATTCGAATGGCAAGGTATGTGAAGATTAAAAGGGTTGAATTATGCAACTTTTAGAGTGATCAGCAGTCTTTCCCCTTCATGGGCCATTGGTTCATTCCACTTCCCACTCCAGAGCAGTGCCAGGGCTGGATCAGTCCACTCTGGGAGGATTAAAAAGGGGGGATGCGGGGTAGTTCAATGAGAAGCATTTGTCGACGGCTTGCTCTGGTCTTGCTGCAGGCTTACGTTACCTCTTGGTGGGGGCAAATACGGTGGGAACATTCGCAGGCTGGTCATACCCATATTGACCCAGATGTTGGACTGGGGGGTGCGTGTGGCCGGCTGCTGGCGGAGGAAGAGGAGGTAGCGGGGGAAGAGCTCCAGCTCTGGTTGCCCTGTCTTGCTCTCCAGGATAACCTGCGTGGGCGGAAGGCAGAGTTTCAAGTGTCTGCAAGTTGAGTACTATACTTTTCAAGAATGGAAACCACAGAGTGCATTGATCAGTCTGGAAGCCTATGACCTATGGGTTTGTCTTTAAGGTCGCTTGGTGCATAGATCTAGACCAAATAAAATAAATCGTACATTATTGCTTTTAGTTAGTTATTAGTTATGATGTATGTGTTACCGTGGTTACCAAATAATGTTCCATAATTATAGAGGATTTCTTAACAGTTCCCACATTCCATGTGCTGATTGTGCACAAGCGCTCAGTGAAAGCCGAACTGAGACCCACCTGTTAAGGCAGTCTGTGCTTTAGGAAATACGCCTAATGATCTGGATACCAGAGACATATATTAGCTCTCATGCTTTTTAAAGAGCTTCCCACCCTGAACCCATGGATAGGTACTGTAAACAGCATATACAGCATAGAACGCATGACATTCCGTTTATGATTACAGAAAGAAAAGGGATTAGAGTATTGGTCAAAATGGGACACATACCTGTCTACCAAAGGTTATGACAACTGAAACTATGGTAAATGCAACTGTGAAACAAAAAAACCGAATGAGATTGAAAGTGTAGCATTCTATAACCCACACTGTGGACTGTGAACAGATACAAATCACTGCTTTCAGCCCAATTTCTTATTAAGGGTTCAACCTATCCATAAGAGAATCATTTATGCTGTCAAAATCTATTGTATAAAACACTAGACCCTTTACACAGCAGCCATTTTGACATGAAATAGTAGACTGACAGACAATTATAATAATAAAGGTTCAGTTCCATTTAGTGTAGCAGAGCCTTTCCAGTGAGCCAACATAGACAATAGCAGCACCCTGACTCTGTTTGACCTGAATGGAACAGAACCTTTATTAGTATCCTTGCTAACACCTGTGTTTACCCTACTATTTCATGTCAAAAACATGCTGTGAAAAAGGTCTATATGCACTGTTATCATCTAATGGTTAAGCAGAACTGTTTGTAACTGTTTGGAAGTACAATTCAAGTCACAAAACTCTCAGGTCTCTGGATGCAAGGATAATTCCAGTTTACTACAGCTAAATCCTCTGTAGTTTTGCCCATCATTTCTGTCAGCTACGCTTGCACCCAAGCTAATTGCTGAGATCTGGGAACAGGGAGAGATCACTACAATGTTTTCCAAATGAGTTTGTCCAACCTGGGAGTTTGTTTATAACCCACGGTTAAACATCATTTGAGGGCATGCCTGTCACTGTCATATCTGTTTGTAGGTCAGGACTTAAAGTTAGAGTCTTAATTTCAGAGTTTTACTCATCATTCCTACTGGTAATAACAACATTCAATTTACCAAGATATTAATAGGAAGCAGGAGCATTCACTAAAAAGTCAACAAACACAAGCAGTGTTTGTTAAACTCATTTAGAAGAGAAAATGAATGCTTATGTGTTGTAAACATTCACTACAATTTACAGACTTCCAGGTTCTACTCTGACCTACTCTTCTTACTGTAGTTGTGCACACAGTGTTCCTGTGCAATGAGGAAATTATTACTGACATTTCAGGTGCTCTAACTTTCAGTTTTAGTTCCAATAAAGTCGATCATCTCTATGAAATGATGTCCTGTGTTAATCCTGTCTGACTGCCCACTTGTGTTCCTTGCCTGTTGGATTATGTTCGAAAAATGAATCAAAAATAACACCTTGGTTTTATTAAACCGGAATTATCCTTTTAAGTCTGACTTGTTCAAGTCTCAAGACTAAAGCTCTGCTCTTAAGAGTATACTGTGATGTTAACATTGTCCAAGCGTGCAGCACAGTGATAGTGAGGTTCATTAGCTGTTGAGTGGGTGTGCTGTCTTCACTCACCGGTCGCGGCAGGCTGAGGTTGGCACCGTACCAGTGGTAGAGCGCCCGCCACACCGGCTCTGGCACGGTCTCAAAGTCTCTACCAGGCGCCAGCTGCATGGAGCGCTTCAGTCTGCCACCCTCCATGGTTAACGTAGGGGCCTGAAGGGGCACAGCACAGACATCAGCATTTAAATACGTGCACAAAAGACACTATCTGCCTCCTAGAATTACAGATAATAGACAGAGACAGTGTCCTAATGCTATGCACAGGCTGGCAGGCTGCTATCATTACAACAAATTGTAGAGATAAGACAAAGGAAAAGGAAGCACCATCTGGTCCCTGACAACCATTGCCAGCAGAGGAGGAGTGTCTCGTAATTGAGAATCTCAGATCATTTCTGTCAAACCCGAAAAGAATCTGGCGAAAATATTCTTCTAACACATTGTTGTGTTGTTTTATATGTGCTAAAGATCGCTAATTCTGTAAGGATAAACAAGCTGTGAAATTTGCATTTATTGCCTCAAAGGTCTGGATCACATCTGTCTTTTAAATGCATGGCTTTGAAGAAGAGCCATTTGATTCCTGTGAACAGACGAGCTTGCGAGTCCAGAGGGAATGTATTGATACTGGAGTCTTCTCTGAGACCAAGTAGCTTGACTGTTCTCATATGTCAAACATGTGCCAAAGCAAAGCTGTGAACATGATGATCCATGCTACCTGCTCACCGCCTGAGCGGTTTTTGGGATATGGGTTTTCTGACGTAACCAAAACTGGATCTGAAACTGAAATATCTTTTGGTCCGCAAATAATTAAAAAAACTGCTCTGAATGCGACTGAATAGGTGTAGGCTGAAACTACAGCTTATTCCACCCACTCTCTTACAATGCATAATTAATTGGGCATTAAAAGTCAAAAAAGTTCTATATTACTGCCAAATTGCTATTTTTGATTATACACTTTTATCTGTTCACATTATTTTTAAATAACACTGTAATTCACAAAGTGTGCTTAACATTATGATCCCCCCCCATGTTCAATAAATCTGTTCCTTTAACTTAACTACAACACTTTTACATTAATTCTTACCCTTTCGTACCCTTAATCAAATCACATTAACTGTATCTAATTAAAAAGCCACATTCTAGTAAATTGAATGATATGCTTTCTCTCTGAAAGTGTGACGAGAAAAGCAATACCATGTCTGTATACCTTGTCTGTGTGTTAGTGTAAAGCTTAGCTTAGCATGAATACTGGAGGCAGGGGGAAACAGCTAGCCTGACTCAAACTACGACCATTAACCCTAAAGCAGTGTCTCCAGCTACAGTGCAGGATGCCAGATACAGTTGGTGAACACAGGAAGCTGCACACAGTCACTGCGAGGCTGCTGCTTCAAAGAGTTCCAATCCAGTTCCAGTGTTTTTACCTTTCTATTAATGTATAGGTTAAACAAACAAGGTAACCTATAGATATATATTAGAACTTGTACCCTTCAGAGTAGTGATAGACCGATTAATCGGGCCAATGATCTGGCATTTTGAGATAATCAGCATAGGCTGATGCAGGTGCTCAGGCCGATGAACAAAAAAGTGCCTGCAGATCCACATTTGTGTGGCTGCTGTGGAACGATGCTCTCTGTGAGTCTTGGGAAGGTGGTGAAAAAGTTGGTTTGGAGCCCTGTACTATAACACTCATCCTGCTGTAAACCTACATTTCCTCAGTCATCATCATCTTTTCTAAATGCTAACTTAACATGTTTCTTCATAATTAGTTTTGTTTACAATTCTTATATTAATTGATTTTCAATCATATATTGATGATTTGTGAACTGTTCACACTGGATTCCAAATAGTTTGGAGTTGCATTTAAGACAGATGTAACCCATTAGCAAAATAAGACTGGGGTTTTAAATGTTTTTCAGTGTGAACACCTATATACTGTGTCTGCTTCTTACTGCACTTCCACACACACTACACATGTAAATCAACTTACTTTGTTACGCGGGTAAACAAAATAAACCAACCATCACTCACTCACTCACTCACTCACTCACTCACTCACTCACTCACGCGCGCACACGCACGCACACACACACGCACACACACACACACACACACACGTCCTTGCCTTCATGGGGTCAGTGTTGACCAGAGGCTGGTTGTCGATGGCTCCAGGTCTTTGTGCTGCCAGCTGGGAGGGGAGGTGGCCGTTGGCTCCAGAAAAACACTGATTGTTGTTGTCCGATACGTTGTGCTGACGGGCAAAACAGCTCTCTGTGGCAGAGGGAGCTACCTGGGGGCTCAGGGCTGCTGGGACAGACCCATAAAAAGAGGAACAAACAGAAACAACACAGAATCACAAAATGAGTGTTAAAAATCTGAGTAGCTGTCGTACTTTGGTTTTTATATGCTATGTACTCTTTGGTGAAGTGTGTTGACCGACCGGTCTCTGTAGCCTCCGAAGCGCTGGACACAGCATCAGGTGACCTCTCCTCTGTGGGGCTGACAGGGCTGAAGGTTCCCAGTCCTCCCAGTCTGTCTGGTGGGGTGGGCTCTATAGTAGCCGTGGCCATGGGAGTTCGCAACGAGCTCAGGATGGACGGCTGCTCCACCACGATGCCCTTATGCTCCTGGACAGGAAGATAACAGCAGGGACTGCCCTGTCATTGTTCAAAGTGATATCTGAGATTAATGTGGTGTTTACTTTCAAAACAGTGACGTTATTGTGCAAGATGCAGCGACAAACCTGGTCTCATAAACTGTATTGTACTCTACTGTAGCAGTTATAGTAATCTGTGAACAGACACATCTCTGCAAATGGGAAACAAGCTTTTAACAATAAATGTCCATACAACTACTAAACCTTTGCATGTGAGCTATGATTTAGAGTTTGACTTTACAGTACCCAAGTTAGATAATATATAGAACATGTCACATGTAATGTTCTGTATGAGGGATTCCTCTTGAACCCATATTGATGTGCAAGAAATCAATCAGGTACATGTGCATTTTAAGTTTTTGAGAGTCAAGATAAAGAATGGCCTGTGAGTGGCCAAGCAGGGGTTATAGTGATAAAATAAAAAAAGATGAATGTTAAGTATCACATTCGTCTCTGCAGTAGGCCCTGAGGTGAAATGATGCAGTCAGGCTGGGTTTTGAAACCTCAACACCACTGTACAGGCAGATTCAGACCAAATCAGGTAGGGAAAGTCCTCCCTTTCATTGAGTTGGGCTAGTCGGTTTAGGTTGCGGCGGTGAGTGCATAGCCAAAAAAAAAAAAAAAAAAACTGTGGCAGAGAATTTGAAATAGAATCAGCTTTAGGAAAATTCAACCAGACATCATGCTGCAGTGGTCAATCCGGCTATCAGACCAGTCTAACTGCTCCACAGCTGCCTGAAATATCACTGAAACCTGGGGCTATCCAGGCAGAGATCATGGACCAAACTATGATACACTCCCAGCTGTGTCCTCGCTTGGTTTACTTTATGTACCCAGCTTTGACGTCCGCATCTGATATAGCGATACCAAGAAGCTTCTTTTGGTTTGTGTCCCTTTGTTAAAGGGAGACAGAGAGATGGCAGTGGTTGAGTGACCTAGAGAATGAATAAGGAGAGGGAACGCAGGTAGAGAGAAAGGCGGTGAATCTGAGAAATGAAACATTATTTTCTGATTGTTTCATAACAGTTACGATCTAAATCGCAAATATACAGCACAACACCACCTGATTTGGTCTGAATGCATAATCACATCTTTACTGAGCAACACATATTGCCTTCTTTAACTGAACTTACGTATTTAACATAGTCCTTCCACTGCTGCCACCACAGCATGGAGATGAGGAACCAGTTCTGACCTTGCTGCAGCCCATGTCTGCTCTCCCTCTCTAGCCAACCCCTACACACACACACACAGACACACAGAGACAGAGACAGAGACAGAGAGAGAGAGAGAGAGAGAGAGAGAGAGAGAGAGAGAGAGAGAGAGAGAGAGATAAAAACACAAATCCAAAGGAAAACATTCCTTAGGTCCTCAACACTGTATATGATTTTAGAGATAAAGAGGACAGGTACGTACCTGATGATTTGTCCCTCCTCCTCAGGAGTACCAGGCCTGAGCCCCAGGACTATGTGGCACACCTGGACCAAGAAAAACACACAGATATACGCAAAACAAATGATGATGAATAAATACTGTGTTTCAATTTCAACAAGTTGTGCAACTACAGTATGTGGGTGTACTGACCTGGAAAAGCAGGTTTAAGAACTCATTGGCTAAAGCGCTCTTCACACTCCAGATCTGATAGTCCTCCAGGGTCAGGTGACCCAGCTGGTGAGGAGTAAAAAAAAACCCCCACAAAAGGTCAGTATTACTCAGATTCACTATTCTCAAAGTATACACTGCTCTGAGACATTGAAAAGGATGGAAAATCTATTCATCTGCTACAGTTATTGTGAATGAAAATAGCTTAGAGGTAAGACAAGAAGGCAGGAAACTAGAAGGTTGCTGTGGGTGTACAGGGCAGCTCCCTGAGTATGTGGATGTGGATATGAATGCAGGTTGAAGCTGGAGTTGAGTGTCAAGTAGTGCTGACTTTCTCTAAATCAAGGTTATAAAATCAAATTATATCATGGGACAGAAGTCAAAGGATTAACTTCCTGGCAGCTACATCAATAAGGATTCTGTCACCAGGAGTTGTGTCTCACCTTGGTTGTGTCGTGCATCTTCAGGATGCCCTCTACTATGTCTGACACGCTACTCTGCAGCTCCTGCAAGGTAACAAAATATATTAGCATTAAGTAGCGAACACCAAGCACCTTATCCTCAGCTACTGCTGTGAAATGCTTCTGCAGGTTGCAGCAGGTTAGTTTAAGACTTTTAAAAACCTTTTAAAAGACTTTCATGGATGTAATTTAAGACCTATTTCACGTCCATACATAAGGATATGAAGGAAAAACAGCATTGGTTCAATGTCAGTTGCATTTTGTAGTTATTACAGCATGATCAATAAAAATATTTCCCAAAAACACATTTAAAAGTGAGACTGAAACTTTATACTAGGAACTTTATTAATCTAATTACTTTTTAACACCTGTCAAAATCATATTTTCATCATATTTAAGTCTGTAATTCAGATTTTTTAATTTTAGACTGAAATTATACAACATATACAAAAGGTTTACTGGGCTCAAACATAAAAAAAGAGAATGTGACCTTCAATGTCAGTTAGACACATGTAAGCAACATGACGAGAGTCATGATGTGACAATAACAAATTAAATAAGGGTTTGATGTTTAGTACAATCATGATGACGGCCTTAGTCCACATAGAGTGATTACCTACATCTATGTTCGGTGTGTGTTTGTGAACTTACAGGGAGTGTGTCTGTACGATTGTCCTTCCACACCTCCAGCAAGGCCACCACCATTTCATGGAGTTCATCTCGAGACAGAATGCCATCTCGGTCCACATCAAACACTTTGAAGCAAACTGGCAGTGAAAGAGAGAGATGAGATGGTGACATACAGATATGGTTATAAAGCACAACGCTGCTCTCTGCTGCCTGGAAACCCAGCACCCTGCTGTTTAGTCTATTAGCAGTAAATCCAATACGTTTCCATTTCTGCAAATGTAATTTCAGGCACCAATGAGAACTCTGATGACAACAGTGATTGCGCACTAATGACCTACAGAACCAATCAACACTTTCCAGAAACAGTCACTCGACAACTTACATTCAAACTCCAGACAACAGCTACAAAGAAGAAACAGACTGAGTTTCTTACGATAAAAAGGCTTGATCTGACTATGTGAAGACTCTGGGGTTTGTTTATCTGTAATGATATCAAACCACAGCATGGCTTACATTTCTGCCTTTCAGCAACAGGCCCCCTGCAGCACGCTGAGAGTCCACAAGAGATCTCTTTAAAGTCGATGTGATTGTCCCGATTCTCATCGAAGGCGTGAAACAAGCCTGGAAAACAACATCAAAAACACAGATATATTAGATAATATTTGTCTTTGAAGTGGGCTGTAATCGCTGGTGAGGGATTGCATTGCAAAGCCTAATGACCTACATAGGGCCATGATGATCTTATTTATAGATTCATGCACTTAATACCCCCCATGAGACATGTGATAAATACAGGTAAATATTGTCTTACCTTCACTCAGTGAGGCATGGATGGGAGGAGAAACAAGAGGGACAAAGGTTTCCAAGTCAAAGCGGCCGGTTCTGGACTGGGCTTTCAGCAGCCAGTAGCGCTTCTCCAAGTCTATGATATCTGACTCCTCCACTAGAAGATAGAAAACAGAGAAAGCCAAAGTCAAAAATACATATAATACATATACATATGTATAATGTATGTAGCATGATGTAATAATGTAATGGAATAATAGCTAAAGATCCTCTCCAGACATGTTTTTAGACATAAATACAAATAGTCTTCTTGGAACAATAATGTGCGTCTAAAAAGGGATCATTTTTGCATTAAAATCCTTAAAAAATAATCTCCTCCTTGAGCTTATCTATTCACATCCAACCGCCTCTATCATAACCAACCAAAATATCTCATGCCCTTTTGCAATCAGTCGTGGAACTCGTCAGGGGTGTCCCTTTCCTGTTCTCAATTATTATTGAACCGCTAGCAGCCAGTATTAGACAAAGTTGTCTAATATCGCCTATCAACATTTATGGACAAGAGCATCATATTTCACTGTATGCGGACGACATTCTTTTATTCATTTCTCATACTCAAGCTTCAATACCTCATCTTTTGACTTTAATTAGCAACTTTGGCAGACTCTCCGGATTCTCTGTTAACTGGGACAAAAGTGAGTTGATGCCAATTTCTAATTTTCTAACAAAAAAACTCATTTCTAACTAAGTTGATATGACATATGTACAGTCTACTCCTCTTAAAAAAGCTTTTAAAAGACTTTTCATATCTTGGTATAACTGTGACTAAAGACCCTGAGGACCTTTTACAGAAGAATTGGTATAATAAGATTGAGCAACTTAAACAAAGTATACATTTTTGGAAGACTCTTCCTATTTCTCTTGTAGGTAAGATTAATGCAATTAAGATGATTGCACTGCCACGTTTCCAGAGAAACTTTCTACTTTCAGCAGATGAATGTGAAAATATCCTTCTAGTGTCAAACTCTGCACAGACAGCATTCTACACACTGAAGATCAAACATCACACTGTTGAAACAACAAGTTTTCGTGTGTGGAGGGGGCCTTTTATGTAATACTGCTGAACTGTTACCTTCTATAATGCATAAAAATGGGCAAAAGTATAAACTACAAGGTATAATGAATAATGAAAAAGGTCCTTTAGTGCAGAGCAGCAAGAAAACGTGAACAACAGGGCCTGCTTTCATCAAGGACTGGTGCTGGTGACTGGTGGGTGGAGAGCTGTTATAGCAGTGTGGGAGTATGGAGAACAACAGTGACACCACCCCTACACTCTTCATCACACAATAGCTGCTGGAAGAAAAGACATCCTGTGGCGCTCAGCAGAGCACCTTAGGGGAAGTTAGCTTAGTCTTCTCAGCCTGACCAGAGTGTGGTGAAGGGGGTGGAAGGTGTCGGTCATGAAAACCAACAGCTTGGTCAGCATTCCACTCTCTGCAGTCACTGGCTTCAGTTTTATTAGCTATGAGCTGGTTTAGCCTCATGGCACTGTCCATCTTCACACCTTCTAACACACTATAGTATACTAGACATTTTTCATTTTCTTTAACATGAATTTCTAAAATTTCAGCAAAATAAAGATAAGTAGTAAGTGCAGGTTTCAATGAACAACCTTTCTACAGATATATTCAAGAGGATGCAACAAATTAAATAAATATGTAACATTCCATTGCTGCTTTCCTCCTATGAGGGGCAATTTGTTTCATTATTTTAATGACTCAACCCTGTGATGTTGTAAGAGCTGAAATGATTAGCCAAATAATCAATTGTCCCTTCCTACGCCACGCCCCTCTGGCAACTTCCTCCTTTCCTGTACTTTGATATGCTATGTGCTTGTCTATACTGAAAAGACAACCACATTTCAAAGATGGTTAAGAGATAAAGGCGACATATGTCACTTTTATCTTTTAACAGTCTTCAAAATTTTGTTAAGCTATACTAGCACATAGCATATCTAAGTATAGGGTAGGAAAAACTTGACTGAGCCTTGCTCAACTGTTATTGGAGAACAGAGCAAAAAGAGGTGGTACTAAGGAAGATTCAATTAGTTGACAGAAAATGCTATTTTGATTTATTGTTTTCGTCTTTTTTCAAGCTACAAATGCCAAATATTCTTGGGTTTAAGGTTTTCTAAATACAAAAATGTATGATAGTTAACCGACTATTTGTGGGTTTGGACTGTTGAGCAGTCTGAACACAGTAAACATTAATCAAAAAACCATAAACAAAGTAATCGATAAGGAAAATTATTGTTTGCTGCAGCCAAAGTGGGAATACCCAAGTTAAATAATGCAACAATAAACAAAATGAAGTAACCTATTTATACTGTTGTTAATTAGAGCACTTACATGTTCTGACCTAGTGAGGAGCAGAGTAAACATGATAGCAGTCATGATACCATAGCAAATCCAAGGGGGTTACATAATGGCTACTGGGTGGATCGTGTTTGACTCAACTTGTAATCAAGTGATACGGATGAGACCAATATAGCATAGAAACCTCTGCCAGGGCCAATGAAGCAGCCTCCCTTTTCAACATGGTAATCCACAGCTTAGGGTAATAGGATTCAGCAGCTAGACAGCTAGCCTTTGGCATGAAGCCAATATGTATGACAGGTGTCAAAAGACGCGCAAATCAAATGGCAGTCAATTCCTGGCACAAAGTGGACTTTGGCTTCCCAGTTGGGCTATTAAAACAACCTTCCTGAAAGCTCTTTTTTGCAGCTACTGGTCACAGTTTACAGTCAGATGGGATGATGGTGGTTGTGGTCGGCTGGCCCTGGAGAATGGCACTGTCTGAGAGGGGTGTTCCTCTCTCATCCAGGTCCAGTTGTGAACATCAGGACAGTTAACGTTGGGATGACTGGGAAGCACTCAATCACCTTTTTACTGCCTCTGAGCAACTCTGCTTCCTGGCTAAGACGTTTAAACTTAAACAGACTAAAAGGGAGCACCGAGTACAAAATCAATGATTCAGAATGTGAGGGGGACTATATGGAGATGGCATGGAGAAAATAATATGAAACTGATAAATTATTGAGGATTATGGACGAAAGCAGGGCGCGAGCACTAGAGACTCATGACTACCTTTTTGTCTCAAAGCTCAGTTGGACATTGCTAACTCAACAAAAAACAGGGAAGAACACTTCCTGAGCAATAATCATAAAACAAGCACACGCTCACCCACCCACTGTGTATTAAGCTCAATGTCAGTAAATTGTATGGAACGGTACTGTAGCTTTTTGAATACATCCATGATTAGCCCTGGTGTACAAGATGGAAAATAAATACATGTGTTCATCATGCTGAACATTTCTCATGACAGCTGTGCTACCTTCTGACTGCTATTCAATAAAACTCATTACCCCAACTATGGATCGCCTACTGCACATCTTCCATCCATCTCAGGGTCGCTCCCTGCTTCTATACACATCAGTGAAGTGCTTGAGGTTACATCAGTGACACTCTTTGTTGGATTTGAAATCTTTATAATTATGACAGACTTCCAAATCTGGCTTTGTCAGTCTCCAAATGCTTAAGGATCTTAAATGCATTAAAAGTAAATGAGCCTAAAGACTTCCCCTCCTGCCACTTTTAAGATACAGACCATCAAGGGTCTGTATGACTCTTCAGCCACAGGTCTTTAAGCAAACACTGCTAATACAGATTTCTTGAAAAGCACTATATGCCTCACAAGCAGGGCTGGGTATCCACTGACATTTTTCAATACTATTGCCGATACGATACAGTGCTGATACCTAATGGATACTATCCTAATGTTGACTGAACTCAAACAGCCATTCAAGAACTAAAAAAAGATATATCAGGAACTATCTGATCAAAAGTTAGAAAAGACAAATAAAAAATATAAATTCCAATTTATTTCTCTTTAAACCAATGACAAAAGTCAATCAGATGAAGCAGCCTTTTTTATTAATTAACAAACCGCTCTATCAACTGCTGTTCCAGAAGTGACCATGAACAACAATCACATTAATCTGACATTAAAGAACAACACTGGACACAAATGACTCCGAATTTACTGCATCTGTCTCTATGGCAGGTGCCTTGCCTGGCCTGATACCCACCTAAAGGTGCGACTCTCTCCGAGTGGCAGCAGAGATACCATACCATTATCCAGGGAACATCCTTAGAGAGGGGCTGCCACAGCCAGCATGTACCATAACAAACTCCCCTTGTGTTAACCGCTCACAGAAACTACGTAATCCTGTCCCAAGGGCTGCTATTCCCACACATTGCTACTCTCATAATATTGTGACAGCATCTAAGGCTAGCAAGTTAGCAGAGGACTCACAGTGCAAAGCCCTGCCATGAGTCAAGCCCTACGTTCTTGTTCTGTAAAGAGTCATGAACCAGGAGTGTGTCAGTCACTCTCTCTCTCCCTTCAACACACATACAGAGACACAAAGTTAAGAGGATAAGCTGGGCAGATTAAAGGCAGCATCTAGGTTCTCTTGACAGGCCAGGTTCTTTCCAGCCCTCTGTCCTTAATTGGCAAAATAAAGCCTGGCTAAATTTACTTGGCCTGCAACTTTAAAGAACTGCATCACTGTATGTTTTTAATTTTCCATGTGCTATAATAGATCACATCTTCCTTGTAACTTTTGGACTTACAAATATAAATCTCTAAATGTCCCAACAAAAAGCCTGTCAAACAATACAGAAATATAATTTCTGTTCCCTAATCTCCAATCTAAAAACATGTTACTGCTGGGTATTGTTTGAAATTTTTCAGCTGGTACTGTTACAATCACAGACTTTTGTAACAGATGTTAGGACTTTTTCTCTCCTGAAATCATTGGGACACGTCAGCTCAGGGTATCTGAGTGATATAACAGTGCTCTCTTTTCCTCAAATTAAATCTGTATAGCACACTGTGTGGAACTCATTGGGAACTTTTTGATGTAAGGCAACATGAGGTCAGGGATTGCTGTGGCACTAAAAGCTAAGTTGGCCTCTGTCCTGGCTGACAGAGGACTGCGTAAACCACTGAATTTTATAATGAAATTGACAAAGAAATTATGTGGATCGGTCACGCCATGGTCAATACCTGATCTGCTGAATAACATCTGTTTACACATCCGGTATATTGGATTGGTGCATCAACCATTTAACTATTCATTTAATATCTATCGACAGACATACAAACAAGGTTTCCCACAATTTTAAATGAAACAAAAGAAGCTGAAGTTCTCAAATGTTAAATGCCGTCTTAAGACAAGAGCTTTGGCTAAACAGAATAAAATTATTATTTAAATCAGCAACTACAGTATGTGTGACAAGATTACCAATCTGACCACACATTCAATGCCGGTTTTCAGTACATGACAGTTTTTGATTCTCTGCGATATGGACACATTTTGGTTGGTACAAAAACAAACGTTTGAAATGCAACAAAGGTCCTTGGTTAGAACTGAACCTGCAACACTAGTTATATGGTATGCATCTTAACCACTACACAGCAGACCTTTCACTTAATTAAAGAAGCAATACCACAATGTAAAAATAATGTTACAAAAAGTTTCTTTAGTAATATACACTTAAAAGTATCAAAAGTAAAAGTACTTACTTAGCCAATTTCAGAATAAGTATATAACTGGATTATAAGTACTGATGCATTAAAGTATACAGTAAGCACTACTAATGTTGCAGTTGACAGAAATAGAGCTAATTTTAAATATATATTTTCTTCCAGGCAGCTTAATCCATAATAATACATCAATGTATAAATTGATTTTTTATTTAGTATTTTTAATCTGAATCTGTAAGCTAACTAAAGTTGTCCATGTAGTGGAGTAAAAAGTACAATACTGGCTCCCAAAATGTAGTGGAGTAGGAGTATAAGGTAGCATACAATGGAAATACAGTTGTGGTAGTTGTACTTTACTTAAGTACAGTACTTCAGTAAATGTACATAGTTACATTCCACCACTGCCACTTGGTACTAGGCTACCAGGAACCCTGTTCAGTTTTTTTTGCATGTAACACACACAGGGTTATATCACCACTGTCACAGATAAAATGTGTAATATATTTTTATGACTTTTTTGAAATGCTGGTATACCATTTTCTTTAAAAAAAATTGTACAACAGTATTTTTTCACTATCATTTTCAGTTCCTTAAAAGAGCAAAAATGACTTGAGAACAGATCTAAACAGGTTGTGCAGTACAGTCCAACAGCTGCACTTTGGGTCCACAGGTGCCATATTGACCTCCGATAGTTTCCCCACTAGAGTAACATTATTGTCATTTTCTCCCTTGGTTGGAACTATTAAGATGGGTAACAGATCTGTTGGATGGGCAGCAGCAATTTATGTTGTTTTAAAAGAAAGAGCTTACTCTGTATACTGACATCAATGTTCAGTATCTTCCACTATCACAAAGGTTAATAAATGAAAGAAAAAAATAGTGTGTGGAATTGATACACTTTCCAAGGTTGTTTTAATAGACTAAAGAAACCACCTTGGGAAAAAAAAATTATAATTGAGCTCCATGTCAATTAGCTTGTTGAGCAGCTGAATGCCACCCAGGGCTTCCAGTAATTTCATTAATCCTTAACATTAAGCAACAATAACACAAACCACTCAGATTCTTCAGTTCCTTAAAGTCAACCTTGGCATTAGAAGCTTAAATAAAAAGAAACATGGCTTTCACAGCTATGGAGGATCACATTAACTAGTGCAGTCTGCATGGTGGAGTGTGACCGAGAGGAAGTGGATATAGAAAGCGGCAGTGGGAGGAGAGAGACCTAGGTGAAGGAGGGATGGAATAATGAAAAAGGAAAACTGAGTGAAAGGAGGAGAGTGAATGACTGAGGGTGATAAGTTGAGCCTGTCAGTCATTTCCCGGGGTGCTCACTGCCACTGACTGGGAGGGGTGTGAACAGCAATGCAATGACTCCATCTAAGCTTTAACAACTGTTGTGAGCCATTTGTGGTATTTCCTGAGACATCTGCACTCTACAAGGGAGGCAGAAGGGGGGAGGAAGATGCAGCTGGGGAACTATCTGCTGGTAGAAAGAAGCACAGTCTTGGACTGTAGCAGGTCCCTGTTAAAGCCGTAAGTATTTTGAAGTCCTAGCAGTGGATTTATAGCCGACAATTGAATTTGCTCCAACATTTCCAAAATGTTTACCTTTTGTCTTGATAATTTCAGCCAAATGTCCATTTCCACAGAACTTAGTTATTCTATCAGTAAAATCAGTACAAAGCCAGTCATGTCATACTCACTCTGCTGCCCTTTAACAGAAATAATGTTTTCATTTGCTATTTAGTTTTACTTAGCAGTTGCTTTGATCAGTTTTAAGCTACTGCAATTGAAACTCAAAAAATAGATTCCAAAGTTTATCTGAAGCTAATATGAGCTTTCAGCAGTCTGAGTTAGACAAATCAAGGTTGCTGTCTTTGTAGAGGAAAGTCCCAGCTGAGCTGCAGTAAAAGGATAGGAACATAAAGAGTGAATTCTGTACTAAAAAGGCTGCAGCTTTGGAAGATATGCACTTAGATTTAAAATAAACTTTAGAATACATTTTTGCACAAAACAGGAACTGTGGATTTTGTCCCCCTTCACTTCTATGGAAAGTGCTTGAGGAAGGGATCTTTCAGCTGACAAAATGCGCGGTCACCCTAGACAGTAACAGTAACTTGTGCTACTCAGAGAAGATTGGTGAGTATGAGATGACTCTGTTGTACTGATGGAACTAGTGCTGTGGAAATGTGCATAATGCTGAGTTTACCATGTGAGACATTACAATTCAGATATGCCAAGCATATATTAGTGACTGGCCATTACCTGAAGAATGGCTTTTATTTAGGACAGGTTATTAACTACTTGAGCATGAACATGAAAAATATTTGCCTATGGGGACATGCAATAAGGGTGTGTTTTTGTGACTTACAGTGTGTGACGCCTGCCAGAGTCTGGTAGAAGGTGGGTGTGTCGCTGTCATCCGTGAGTGTGACACACACTCCTCCAGACAGAAGCCATCTGGACAAAGTGAAGGCCTCCTTGTTCTGTAGGAGCCAGTTTCTGAAGCGCTCATAGTTCACCTTGTCACCCTGCCACACACACAGACAGACAGACACACACACAGACACACACACACACACACACACAGAGCATTTAGTTGCCGCTATTGCAAATTTACTAATGACGATGCAACTGCGTAATAGCATCAAAACCAGTTAAAGGTGATTAATATTTCCTTCCAATCCGGACTGAATTCTGCAGTTACAGATTTTGACCATCATTCCTCAGTAAGCTGGAGATGAGGAGGAGATCTGGGAGCATTTTATAGTCCTGTATCTAGTTATCATGATTGATTTCTCATGTTTTACAGTCTGTTCACACGGATATAGGCTAAAAAAAATGACATTAATTTTGTAAGAAAAGAAAAAATATTAAAAAACAATATTCTGGGCCCTGGACAAATATAGTTGAATACCCCTGGAACAACCCATTCACATCATATCAATAATTAAAGCTTATAAAGTTTTTAGTTTGGAATCAGGGTCTTTGGTATTTGGTTCAGGTAGCTGGTGAAAATAAAGCAAATTTAGAAGGCTACATTTATAGGCTACTTAATATTAATCTGATCTAACAGGCTTTTTATTATACAGTACTTTCCAAAGTTGTTTGGGGTGGGTTGTGATTTGAAAGGTTCTTTTGTATTCTAATAACCAGTACAATAACTCTCTGTGATGCCAAACTTTGCATTATCCAACAATAGCTGTTTTATGAGCATGTGACAAACACCTCTGTAATGATGACAACAAACTCAATGATGAGCCAAGGAGGGAGTGTGGGCGATATGCAAGTTATCATTCTGAAGCTCACTTGTTATTACCAAGTCCAGACTGAGGTAACAGACACATTTGACTAGCATGGTTGTGTTTGTTTATGTGTATATCAATGTGTATATCAATGTGGCGTTTGCTGACCTCACTGAAGCACTTCTTGAGGGAGGCTGGGACTTCTCCATCCAGGATCTGCAGAACTGCTTCTATATCTTCCCTTGCAGCGTATCCGCCCAGATCGCTGGCGAACAGGCTGAAGAGGTCTGTGAAAACACACACACACAGAGACAGAGTCAGAAGAGAGTTAAGCTTTATCACAGGAAGGCAGGCCTCTTTCACGTAGCTGCAGTTAGGATGATAGAAGCTACAATGTCAATAGCGTCCTGATGGATTAGACTGCCTGCAACACATCAAGCACAACTATCAGAATAAGTATAAGGAAAAGACAGAGAGACACACGGGGATAGAGACAGACAGAGAGAGATGAAGAGGCTTATAGAATAGCAGGAAAGAAATGTGAACCTGACAAAACATTTGAATGCCATCATGGTTGTTAAATGATGAACTAAGTCAAATTATAATAGTATCTGTCTAAAAGCTGCATTTTCCACCCAAAGTACCCAAGAAAGGTTCCTTTAGCCCATTGTTGTCTGTGTTTCCTCCCAGTGAAGATTAGATTTCCGGAAAGTACAAGTCCTGCTTATTTTGTACAAGGACAGTGTGAGGTGACTGAGAGTTGGAGTATTTTTAAAAGGCATGGAACTCTCCTGGTTGAATCATCAGTACAAAACATGGGCACTTGTTATATCAGGTTTTTAATAAGAGGCATGTGGATATGAAAACATAAGTAGAGATGGAAAAACAACTCGCAAGTTGCATTTAACCACAAAACATCCAATCACAGAGCCTAAAAATCTGTTCCGAGCACTCTTTAGGGACGTAAAACATGAAGATTACACTCTGTAGAAACCCAGTAACATTCAGTAGGGGCCATACAATACGTATCGCAAAACAGGGGCTACCATTCAATATACTGCAATACTGTAAGCCAACAGATATATTGTGATTTTTTTTACATCTAATTTTAGTCATAGTATAAAGAAAACACCTCAATATGTATAAAATCTGAGTAACAAAAACTTTCTTTACGCAACCAGAACAGTGGAATCTGCATATTTATCACAGTCCCTTCAACAATCAACATCATAGCCCTCAGTACGTTTACAACACTGCGGTTGGGGGTTTAAACACAAAACAGTGTTTCTGAGAATCCATACAATACTACAAAACAAAATATTGCAATACGATATTGTTCTATATTTTCTCATACCCCTAATATTCAGAAGCTTGAATCAACTGAGGGATAATTTTGGATGAATTCAGCAATAACAATGTGGTGTTGTCTTCCAAATTGTAACATTAAAATATTCTTCATCTATCCATCCACCATGCCAAACTGATGTAAAAAAACCCTGATTTTTCTAAGAGACAAAGTCAAAATAATTAAGAACATAAACCTATAGTATAAAATGATCCAGCAGACTTTTCGTTTTTAGTGTTTCAGTGAGATATTGAGGATATCATTAAAAGGAAACTTTAAAAGGGAATTATAAAGTCGGGGAACATACTTATCAACTCTATGGGCTCTCAGACTACAATAAATTAAACATGGCTTGATGTGTATATATAAGTATAAAGTATATACACACCTATATACATATATATGTATATGTAATAATGATATGATGTGTTTTTTGGACACTGAATGATTCAATTTGTTCAAATCAGATTATTTTGTCATTACATTGAATGTTGTTGTTGGTAGCACTATACCCTATGACAGATTGGAGAACAACATAAAACCAAAACAACGGCATCAACACAGACTCATCAGAAACAACTTACACTTGGCCTTCTCCTCATCGCGTCCTCGGGTCAGAAGCACCAGACCCACGATCAGATTGTTGAAGTGCAGCCCTTTGGACGTGCCTCCAAACGAGGTGTAGATCACCTTAAACATATAAAACGCACAGGACAGGTGTGTGAAAAACAGCGGAAAACTTCGTATCATCTCATGTTCACACTGTAACACGATCAACACTTTAGCAGAAGTCCCTTCATTCAGAACAGATTTTTACCAAAGTCATCAGCTGTCACCAGTGAGTCACAGCATTACAGCATTTTCTCATATCCATGCCATTGTAATTGTATTTCACAGACAATAAAATGGGCTCATTCATCATTTACAACTGTAAAATCCAATAACGCAGTCATGCAATTAAGACGACCTTTGTGCAAAAGTTGAAATAATGCGAAACCTACTGTGAGGTAATGTGCTGACTATGAGAGGCTTTGTGTGATGAGGACATGCCCCATTTCCTTAACATCATTTACACTTCAGCAGCAGAGCTGGGCACGCTGGCAGATGAGTTATGTCACGGGGTATCCCATTACAACATTACTGTGTTTGTGGTTACAAATGTGCATTCAAAAATCATGTTTTGGTTCGAGCAGAATCTCTCCCCAACCCACACACGAAGAAACATTTGCAACCTACAGTGCCTGAAATCAGTGATGGGGGATTTTGCTTCAAGAAAGACAGGAAGAAGAGAGGGCGAGAAAGCGCAGGAGACAGTGGGCGAGCAAAAAACCCGAAGTAACTGAAACGTATCTTCATCTGGTATTTGTTTCACTGTGGTCATTTACTAAAATTAAAAACAGCAGCAGATCAAACACTTAGGAATACTCTGTTTTTTTTTTTATGATTTGTTTTGGTGCATTTAAGTTTCAATTCAGTACCCTTTGATGAAAAACCATACAGAAAATATTAGAGAGACAGACAGATACTGATGCTTGTATGCTTCTTAGACTAGAGATTGCGCAATACCACTTTTTCATGTCCGATACAGATACCTCAACCTTGAGTGTCTGCCGATACCAAGCCGATACTGTCTTTTTACCTCTCATAAACAACTACGCTGTTAACACTTTTTATGGCTGCACTTTACTTACCCTAGCCAAATAAAAAACATCATTCATGATCCAATCAGATCGGCACACCCCTACCTTAGACCACTACCAGTCACTAGAGGCTGCATTGCCTTTTAAATCATGTCGAGCAGCACAAGCTCTCCAAGCGATTTCTTTCTTGTGTGTTGTATTGATGCATCAGTATTTTCTTTAACGATTTACTTTATTGATCAGAGAGGCTTTCAGTAATTGCAGAGATGTCAGTGCAGGCAGTAATGGCTTGTGTCCCTTCCAATGTTGAGACCAAACGTACACCCTTTTGCAATGACCATATCAAAATCTATGATTTTGTTTTAAGAGGACACTGAGCCAATAGAGGGTTATGTTTTGGGGGTGTGTTCGCCTATAGCTGGCTGCTGCTTGCTGGTCCCACCTCAGGTACCACTCTGTTGGCTAGATATGGATACCTGGCTCTTAACAACTAACATCATGGTGGAAAGAAATTAACCTAGATGAAAGCTTCCCAATATCCCTGGAGAAAATTACAGTTGCTGGGGTGTCGTAGTGATCTAGTGGTTAAAACACATCATATCCCTGGTTCAGTTCCCAGCTTCGCTCCATAATTTCCCCTCTCCATCTCCCCTCATTTATACAATAATGACTTTTTGGTCGAGATGAGATGTTGAGAAGCCTTTGTGAAAATCAAACGTTCCTATTTCTGATACTGATACTTCCATGCCAGGGGGTGCTGTTGTCTAAATCAAAGCTGCGCTCAGACCATTAAAGAGCAGTGTGTGCTAATGCATGAAATTGTCTTTTATGTTATGTGAGCCGTGGAGAGGTGACTGTGCAGTCAGTGAGCTAATGAAGTGTGTCCATGTCAGTGGGTCACACATAGCAGAGGAGCTTCACTTGCGGTTTAAAAAAAGGGAAGTCGGAGTGTGTCATACTATGCAAAGTTCCAAATCCACCACCAAACTTCCCCTATCTGCTGCATTACAATCACCCTGACCTTATACTGTATCTGATATCCATATTATATTATACTGTGCCACATTAGGTTAACATGTTACAGTGTCTATACTGTAAAAGAAAAAATTAGCATCACTTAAAATTACTAGTAAAAGCTGCTTAATCAAGAATCTTTTAAACTTACAAAATGACTTCAAAGATTTTCGATGTAATCCTTTAACAATTTTTTTGAGCTAAAATAACTGATGGCATCACAGTGTTTATACTATATTAAATTTCTATATCAACAGACATACACACATTAACAGACTATTATTATTACTTCATCTTATTATTATATATATATATATATATATATATATATATATATATATATTTAGCTGGTGTATGTTTTTTTGCTATTAACCAAACCACTGTCACTTATCTTTTGTTAATTTTAAAGTATTTTTTACATTGTCCGAATTTCCCCTCTGAGGATCAATAAAGGATTATTTTATGGGCTTTTCAGTACTCAATTAATGAAATTAGGGCTGTGCAATAAAGCAACAGCAATATGTATTGCCAATAGACACTGCATCAATAACAATAAGAAAATTGTTCAATAGAATATCGATAGACTCCCTTAAATGCAGTAAGTGCAAACCGCAGTGAAAGCAAATAATGAATACGCCCTGGCTCATGAACAGCATATTCCTTGACAACAGAGTGTGCAGTGAGTGAATAAACAAAGCTGCAGCCACCCTTTGGTGTACACAACATATTGTCAGTCACGACCTGCATCTGTTAAATCTCAAGAAACGATCCACAGGCGGTCCACAGTGGAGAGGTACTCAGCAACAATACTGTATCACCAAACATTTAAATTACTACCTGTGTGCCTTGATCCAGTAAGAGGTTAAAGAGTTTAAACATATCTTTTTTACACCTGGTCTTCATTTAAAATAGGTAATTAAAAATGATCAATAATTATCGACTAAAATGAAACATTTTAATATAATACATTTTTCAGCAATATCAGCCAGCCCTAACTGAAACTACTGTCCCAACGGTTAAACAATACTATTCTTAAACCTTCTTCCTCTTAATACATGTTGATACAGTAATAGGTAGGAATCAAAGTATCAACAATATCAAATTATGAATACATTTTTTCCCCATTGATCTATTGAATAAAATATATATGAAATATTGCATAAAAATAGAGGGCCGACAATTTCTAAAAGTGAGTTAACTAAGAGTTTCGTTCATTTTGATATACAGTGCTGAATGAGTGTAGTACAGAGACATCTTGCCTGACAAACACTGGAGCAGCACCGATGACTGCACTGACTCTAGTCTTGTAGAACCACAGACATCACGGTACAGTATGATCAGTTTTTGCTAGAAGTAAACATAACAACTTCATTCACTGTAATATGATATTTAAAAAATGCATTGAGTGGTACAAAATTTGCATGAATGCCCCATGCTAGTCTCCTAAAGACTAAATTGGTAGACTATGCAAATCAGTTGGAGGCAGTAAGAAGACTGAGAAGGGGAACTCCACTGAACCTAAACAGAAAGATCCCATTACTCATCAGAGAAAGGGATTTTCTTTGTTGAGCATGAGAAAATTATGCTAGATGATATCAACAGGGGATGATGAAACAATACATTTATAACTTAAAGGTGCTTCCATGTTTACAGCTTCTCCCCAGCTTTATGGAGTTGGAACCCATTTGAACTAAACACAGAAATAGTTCATTTGCAAACTATATCTATGCTATATATTCAGCTGTGCTTGATTTTTCCAAACCACATCCTGCACACTGTATAAGACGACGTGTGTGAGGAATAAAATTTCCTACACAAGTAGACCGCCCCTCATGTAGTTTACAGCGGCATACTTCTTGTCAGTCTGCCTGACAGTGTGTTTACCTCCCTGGTGAGATGGCAGTGTGACATCTGTCACAATGTCAGAGCTCCAAAGACACGGAAAAGTGTTGTTTTGACTGACAATTTTATATTTATTAAATGAATCAGGCCACTATCTATGTCACACTATTTCAGGGCAGGAACAATGTTTAACATGCATGATAACTTTAGCATACTATATATGTGTATATATAATGACTATGGCATCCACACTGAATTTCTGAAATCCCAGAGGTCAGGTACTGCCACCAGTCTGGCCCCACAACCAAGGCTTTGAGGACATTTACGGTCATCACCGTAACTAAAGAGTCAAACTGAAAAGTGATCAAATTACGAAGCCATTTTAAAATCTTAACTCTTCCCAAGTCCCGCCCCTTTTTGCTCTGTGCTACAATAACAGTTGAGCAAGCCTCGATTAGAACCTTTCTCCTTTGCTGAACTTACATATTCTATGTGCTAGGCTCTCTATTGCATTTTTAAAGATGATTACAAGATATAAAATTTATGTAAAAAATATACCTTTTTTATAATTTTTTTATAAAAATAATTTTATTATAAAAAAAAAAAAAAAAAAAATAAATTTTTTATAAATTAAAAAAAATTTTTTTTAATTAATAAAAAAAATTAAATAAGAAAAAAAAAAAAAAATAAAATTTTTTTTTTTATTTTAAAATAAAAAAAAAAAAAAAAAAAAAAAAAAAAAAAAAAAAAAAAGAAAAATTAAAAAAAAAAAAAAAAAAAAATTTTTAATAAAAAAAAAAAAAAAAAAAAAAAAAAAAAAAAAATTTTTTATAAATATTAAAAAAAAAAAAAAAAATTTATTTTTTTTTTTTATAATAATATTATTTAATATTTAAGATGATGAAGGGAGCTGAATTAAAGCAGAATATTTTAGTTTTTCAGGTAACAGGGCTTCCAATAATAGAAATTACAGGATCAAAACAGATATGGATGAAAATATGAGGTGGCACTGAGCTACATTAACTAAAAGAACATCCTACGAAGGTAAAAAAGCCTGCATGACCCAGTCTGACCCAACCGTGTAGAATCATGTTAAACACAACTAATGGCATAACAACCAAATTTGAGCAGTTTGAAAAAAACAGATATTTTCATCCATTGCATGAAAACATGGGCTCTCTGTTGAGAATCACCGAATCTGTGTACCATCATCATCATCATCATCATCATCATCATCATCATCATCGTGAACACAAACAATCAAAAGAATAATGTGTTTTTTTGCACAAAGTGTTGCTGAGGTTTCAGCACACTGACTGACTGATTAGGCTCTGGCTGTCTTTGAACTGCCAGAATGTGCAGCAGCCATGTTTCTATTTGAAGAGACCAGCAACCTTAGATCTGGACCACTGTCACCGCAGTAACTGCTGCCATGGTGACAAAGGGGAAGAAGGATAGATGCTGAGAGAAAGGAGAGAAGACACGTGCTGTAGTGTTCAATGAATGGTAAATGGTAAATGGACTACATTTAGAGTGCTATTCTACCTTAACGGACAAAGCCCTTTCACTCACACACACGATGCACTCTAAAGACAAGGTACATGTTGTTGATGCATCCTGATGAAATGAGCGCTGTAAGAAGCATCATGGTGTACAGGGAACTCATTTTTGCTGCTCTGTGTTTTGATGTGTTAACAACAAGCACAGCAGAAAGAATGCAGGGTTTCCCAAAGCGTATTACAGCAGAGACGCACTGCCTTGCCTGAAATCATGCCCGCCTCCACAAAAGTCAGAAGATATTATTACACCTTTGTGAAATACAGCATTAACAGGGGGGGAGAGTAGAGGTGCTACATCACACAGCAAAGCCCACATTATTATTGAGTTGTCATCTACTAACTAGGGATGTCCCAATCTGAGCCCTTTAAAACTGCGTGTTCGACGATACCGAGTCTGATACGTAGGGCTGTACCCGACTGAGAATTTTGTCAGTCTAATCGGATTTTGATCTTCAATATGAAGATTTGACTTGGGGGGTTTATTCAGTTCAGCTCCACACTAAAATTCTATATCAGCAGTTCCTGCAGTGGAAATGCAGCTATGGGTCTCATGTTCTAGCCTACCTTTAATGCCTTTCTTCATGCTGCCCTCTGTTAACTATCATTCTTCTCACCTTCCATCACAGTTAGTTTTGTGGTCTCATTTTGACTTGGGCTGTAAAGTTTACAGCCACCATGCTGCCCTTTGTTTGTGTACAATGAAGTACCTAAAAGTGCAGATTGATGACAGAGAAAATATGAGTCAACTCGGGGTCTTCTTAACCAATGATTTGGATGGAAGTGGGAAGCCCCACTGATATGACGACACGCAGCACAGGTCGGAGTCAAACCCATGGCCGCTGCAGCAAGGACTCAGCCTTGGTACATGGAGCGCCAGCTCTACGAGTTAAGCTATAGGGCACCCCTGTAGTCCGACTATTGATAAAAGCACAAAAACAGTGAGAGGGTTGGGTGAGTAATATAATTGGTATATGCCCAAACACTGTGAAACACCAGTAACACTGACTACTGCGGCAAGCCTAGGGGCACAGCAGAATATTTCAGGGTTTTGTTGAGCAATTTCATGGAAAACTGACACTCTTGAATCATCATACTATAGAGTAATACTATAGGATTCACTTTTAAATCACACAGCTCAAACAATCCTGAATATTTCTGAGTCTGCCAACTTGAATAGCGAGAGGAAGAATGTCAGCTCTAAACTGTGGAGCTTAAGAGTGACAAACTGGGAGAAGTGAAGGCACACAGCTCACTCAGTCACAGTCAGATAGATCTCACGTCCCTCTCACCTATCTGGAGACCAGAGATGTGCATTATGGGAATGTAGGTGTTGCATATTGTCATATTGTTTTACCCAATATGCTCTGCGCCAAGTTGAAGTCAGACACTTACCTAATTCATCATCTTCCATCATTGATGGACATAAATGTATTCATGGCAACATTCAACTGATATTTATTCCTGTTAGCATTTTCCCAATAACAGAACTTTATCTGTGCTAATTTTGATGCATATATTTTGTGGAGCAGTTTACAAGGCTTTAGATTCAGTCCAAGGCATAGTGGGCTATTCCTACTGCCATTCTCCATAACGGATGGCCTATTGGTTTACACTTAAGATTGATCCCTTGCTGTCTAATGCCCTATCATGCTTTTCAAACAGGAAATACAAAACTCTACGGAAGAAAGCCTTTATGCCTTTTCAGGAGACCACTAGTGCAGCAGCTCTCAACCTGGTGTCTGTGGTGTCTTGGGGATGTTCCAGGGGGTCCCCAAAAAAATGGGGAATATTTAAATGTTTCTATTATTTCATTGACAAGAAGCCCAATGTATACGAATGACTATTCTGTTTATAGGTCGCACTGTTAATCTACCAATCTAGATAGACAGTTATGCCATAACTAAATCTTATCAGACAGGGATCACTGAGACTACAGCTTATCAAATACAGGTCCACAGCCTGATGGGTATCAGTTTGGAAGTCCTTGACACCGAAAAGGTTGAGAACCACTGCTCTAGGGGTATGCAGTGTCCAGTTGTCGCTATAGCCTCTGCTAGAAACCCCTAGCTGTAATACTATCCAGGCCAATATTGATCCCTATGTCCCACAACACACTCAACAAAACCACCGAAGTCTTCTCCAATTTATCTGAAGTTAAGGGTCTCTTACTGGCACAAAACCCTCTCTTCTTGGACTTCTTGTACTGTATCAGATTATTATCTACAGGATCAGCCATCTATATCTCTAGCTAAGCTATTTTGGTGGCTATCTGGACAGCATTCGGCATTTCAGTGTAACTATCACTTCGGAGTAATGATCATGTACAATAGAACACGGAGTGTGATATTACTGTGGCTTACCTCTGCAACTTTATGGGGTACTCCATCTCCCAGCACTTCCCTGTAGAAGCACTGCTGGGTCATGTAATAGGTGATGCCACTGGTTCTCTTGAAGGCATCTTTCAGCCGCTTCAATTCCACATCAGTGACTAGAGAGAGGAAGACAAGAAAAACAGAAGTGATTATAAGCAAACTTGATATGTTTTGTCACTGTTAACAGGGCCTACAGTGGGGCTGGCCATATTGATGAATAAATCAGCTATTAGCAATTGGAGTCCATCACCAGTTCACAAACAAAAAAAAACACAATAAGCTGAAGAACTAGTGAGAGGAATAAGAGCATCTAATTCTGAATGAAGCAGGGGTGTAACAAAGTATCGTATTGCGATATTTTGTTTTTTGACATGGTATTGATTCTCAAAAACATTATTGATTTTTATATTTAAAGCTCCAAACACTAGATGATAGGGTTGTAAACTGAGGGCTATGATGTTGGATGTATCACCGTGCATCGAGTATCACAATATATCGCATTTATATTGAATCGCAACCCCTACATGGTGATGCATATCATATCACCAGATTCTTGCCAGTACAGCCCTAGAATAAAGGGTTTACTCTGACTCCAGGGAAGGCAAAGACTGGGCGGTGGTTTGCCAGTTGTTGGGCTGACGGAGCCCAGTTGTAAAAAATATCATTACACGAGTACAATAGTATCGCGATATTATGTTTTATGATGCTGTGTCGATTCTTAAAAATACTGTAGCGATTTTTAATTAGTAGTTTACATGCAAATATTTGTGGCTGATTAATTTTGTGTTTGTGTTTAAACCACCAAACACTAGATAACAGTGTGTAATCTATCTTCAAATCCAGATCAGGCACTCTTATGTAGAAATGAGCCGACTTCTGACTTGATTTATTATCTCAGTAAACAGTTTCCGGATGAGTTTATGGTCTCAATCTCTAGTTTCAGTCTTCTTCCACACAGCATGTTGTTCATTTAGTAAATGATGGTCCCATTTAGAGTAAAACAGACCATAAAGCAGGGTATGCTTCTGGGCGTGAGATTGACATGTCATTATTATTTGAGTGCTATAAACCATTCCTTTCACTTCCACTGTAGCAAAACATTTTCAAAATTCTCAGCAGAAGAACCCCAAACTATAAGCAAAACTGCACTTGATTAGGCAGAAGAGCATAATGTTTTGGATATTGTGCTTTGGCTAAAACAAACCAAAAATAGTCTGACAGATGCTGCCTTAAATGGACCAGCTGCTAACAGCAGGGTATACAATGCAACTGTGTTGACAAGTCTTTCGCACATATTTAAATTTGATATTTTTACATGCTTACACACACACAAAAAAAACCTATGCTGGTTTTCAGTCATTAAGAGGTTTACCACAAACCACGGCCTTGTACTGAAGAATTCCTAAGTCATCAGCACCTCGACACTACTGCAGTAATAGCTGAGTACTGAGTGATACAGGGTTTGCAGCGTAATGCGTCGCATACACCACAGCTACATGATCAACAAGTCACCAGAAGTTAATCTTTTAACCACAGAGCTGACACTCAGATGATGTGTGAACAATCAGACAGCGATTATGAATAATAATGGATGGTAATAATATGTCAGCCCATAACAGCTCACGTCATATTTCAGCCAGTCAGAGACAGAAGAACTGACCATTTACATTAAATGATGATTCAGTTAAGGCCTTTACACACTGGGGGCCTTTTTTGTGTGATTAATATATTCATTCTAACTGTTGTTTTTGTTTGTTTTGTTATTGTTTAATACTTTTAAAAAGCAGTGTAATTGTTTTTCTGATGATTTTCCTGAACTTTCGCACAACGTATGAAGGCAAGTCAAAGCTGCAGTAGGTAATTTTTATAAAAATATTTTTTTGTCATACTGTCATGCTGAAACGTTCAATATATCCTGAACATGAGACCAAGAATCTGTCATAAAATCAGGTTCCTTTGACTCTTCCTAGTGATCCTAATGGTCTTTACAAGAATCTACCAGACCTGAATGAAAACAACCAATCAGAGCCTAGAAAGATAGCTGATTGTTAAGTCTCATTCCCAGGGTGTCAAATACAGACGCTTTGGGACTCTGGCAATGAGACTCAACAATCAAATATCTTCAAGCCTCCATCCCAAAATGTCTTATTATCTTTCTCAGCTCTGATTGGTTGTTTTTGTTCAGGCCCGGTGGATTCTTGTAAATGCCATTAGGAGCACTAGGAGGAGCCAGAGGAACCTGATTGTTTCACAGATTACCTGTCTCATTTTCTACTGTCAGGATGTAGGGAACAGCTTCAATGTAGACTGGCCAGTAAAGTTTATTTATTTTTGTTATGTTAAGTCAATATAAAGTTAATATACCTCATATGTGTGTTGTTGATAGTCCAAAACACACTAAAAGGGGGAAAAAAACAAACACGGTTTGCCTAACCTTAACCATGGCTCTAAAATCAAGATCTAAACCCAGTCATGGAGCTGGAGAATTGTTCTCTCTTATATCAAATGTATATCTATGTTTTTGGGTAAGAAAGCAAAAAAGTGACTGCAAAAAGTGTTGAACCCTCCCATCAAAACTATGTAAAATGTGCTGGTGTATATTATGCTCACAGTGTGAAGGCACAGTTTCAGAAATGAGAATATGTCCAACACCTCGCTGCTCATCATTCCCTGGTTTCAACAGCAATAAAACTGGCTAAACACACACACATTCACTTCAGCACACACACACAAACACACAGAGTTCAGGGATTTTCTCGTGTGATGGCTTGTGCATCACACAGGAAAAGGTACAGAACTGTTATCATCAGCAGCAACAGCCACGCAGCACTTCATATAAACACGCATCGTATTGTCCACTGCTGCACTCCGGTAAAGGCACACAGCGTGTGTGTGACGCTAGGACGTAGTCTCAACAGCAACAATTACCCTGCTGGCTCTGCTGCTGCAATGAAACACATGCAGCTATATTGTCTCTACATCCAGATCAAACACTGATGGAGCTTTCCAGATACAGCTGCACACGGCACTGTGCTACTGGTTAAACTGGACCGTCACCAATAAGGGCTGGTAGAGATGTGGAGACATTACTGCTGAAACCACTGGAACTCATTAATAGGTCCACTGACCTAACATGCATAGAAACAACAATTTTGACTAACTAATTTATTAAAAAATACATTCAAGATAGATTGGCTGGCAAGAAATACAGCTTTGTTGCTGCACTCTGCTTTCTTCAAATATAAAGAGAATATATTTGGAATTTTAGCACAAAATAAGCAATTTAGATGAAATTATAAAAAAAAAAAAATAAATAAAAAAAATAATAAATAAAAATAGACTGACATTAGACATTAATTGCTGCCTTGTAGACAGGATGGCTGTAAAATAAAAGCCATGTGTACTGTACGGACTGAAGGTTACAGCAAACAGAATGAAGGCTTTGTGATAATAGGAGCATTTTACATCCCAGCTACAGAGCAACAAATATTGTGTTACAGCTTCCTACACTGGAGTGTAGCAATGTAACATAAACTGAAAAACATCTCAAAGTGCAACATGATTTCTCTTTAAAACTTGCATTAGAAGTGCTGGAAAGGTTACTACAATATTACCACAATACTGCAGTATCATGAAGCCTGCTGCAAGGTTGAACTGATTACCATTATCACCACTTTTGTTCTTTCTCTCATTTCACCCAAGCAACCACATCTCTCCATCAACAATGGGGTCACATTACTGTTATGGTGATTCAAACAGTTCTGTCCACACTTCACCATTCAAGCTTACCACGGCACAACAACAACACAATATCACGGTAAGCAATACATATAGAACTGTTCCTGTTCTATGGAAAAGCACATTGGGCTCTGATTACAACTGATCAGTACTGTTTCCAAACTGTAGCGGCTGAAAACATCAGCATGAAGGGAACTGATGACAACCTTGCATACTGTGTATTCTTGATTGATATGAAGTGGGGCATGGATGACCAGGGGAGAAATATGGAGTCGAACTAAAGAATAAATATGATTTATGTATGGAAAATAAACAAGAGTTTGCTGATGCTACTCTGCTGACCTTTATTTCACTAAAATTCAACTTGGATCCTTTTTGATTAGTTTTGGTTCCCCTTTCATTGTTTAGGATTACAAAGAATTGTAGATAAAAGAGAAAGCCCTTTTCTAGCTTCTGAAGGGGAGCATGGCAGAAAAAGATTTTAAGATTAATTGACCAGCAAAGAATCAGAATCACGCCAGGAAGTTCTGTTCCTATTATAACTTACTGCGGGGAAAATGCATTGGCTCAACTGATGGGTTGCGACCTAAAAGTGTGTCACGGACTGCGTGGTAAAAAAAATAAAATCTTTTTTAAATGATAAGCTAGCTGATGTCGGGTGTCTCTTCAGTAAAAACAGCCCGTTTTATTATGCCGTTATGATGAATTTGATTCATATTCATAAGAATCAGCAGCATACAGTTGTGATGTTTATCAATAGAGTAATATGCTCTGAGTGTAGGGATGAAAATATGTGTATATTCCATATCTAAAAAAAAAAGAAAGGACTTTTTGTATGTTTACTAGCCATGTGACTGTGTTTGTGTGTGTGTGTAATGTCATTCTCTGCAGTGTGTGTTTTTGTGTTGATGTGTGTAGAAGTTTGATCAAACAGTAACCTCCATGAATGCGAGGATGTAAATATGTGTATATTTAATGTTAAAAAAGGTCATGATGACAGTGTATATGGGTTCACTAGCCTATTAGAGAAATACATTTACACCGTGTTTAGGTGGTTACATGTGACTCTAAACTCTTTTAACACCGGCCTGTAGAGGGCAATAGAGTCCATATACATCACGTTGGGTGGCAACACATTACACTAATCTACTACTTGTACTGCAAAGTCATGTAATAAATTACAACTGCAAACCTTATAGTTAGAACTACAAAATAAAGCAAATAAAAACTACTACATTATACTGACACTCAACCTTACAGCTGCCTCAACATTTAAAAGTATTACTACCACTGCTTCTCATTTGTTTTTAGACTTATAAAAGGAAGTCAGTTTAAAGATAATAGGTTATACTTGGTGATTACTCAACATTCACAGCAA